AGCCAGGCTTAAGATTGCCTAACATATAACGTTTTACCTAGCCTAACAAAACATACAGTACATTGCGAGTCATAAAAGTGATTTATTTAGAAAAGAGATTCAAAAGCTGGACCCAGAAGGGGAATGGGAGCTAGCCTCAGTGGAGTGCCTACTCTGTGCTGGGTATTCTCATGGGCGCATGGCACTAGCATAGCCATCTTCCTGGTAACTTTGTCTAGGTGGGTATTGCTATACTTACTGAGTGAATGAGGAAATGGCACCCTTACGGTTAATAGCACACAGTGGAACTGAGATTCACTAGCCTTTTTCTTTTCCACAATACCATGCTGCCCCTTGAACTTACTGTGGTGCTACAGAAGAAAAGTAACATGGAAATAGGAAGTATTCTTGCCTGCATGAAATTTTCACCGTGGTAAGGGTTTTTCTTAGCCTAGTCAAATGTGATTTTGAAGGAGCTTTGTATTTTGTGCTTCTTCCTGGAGAAGTGAGGGAAGAGACTCACTGAGGGGGTGACTGTTGTCTTTGCCTTCCTGCCACTTGCTTTGTTTCTGCCTGGTCCCCGCCCCCCTCCCTGAGACATTGTTTTCACTGTCTGGAAACTGTCACCACTTGAGTGATGAGTCAATGACATAGCACACTTTGATTTTCTGATTCAAGACAGGGTTGTAGTTTTAATATCGACCCCCCAGGCAGGCTGTATGAAGGATGTTTACAGTTGACAGGTTTCATTTTATTGGAAGATACCTCATTTACTTGAAGGACTTCTGAGTTTCTTATAAATGAAGAAGCTGTTTTACCTGGTCATTCAGAGAAAATGAGCATGTTTGTGTTTGGATCAATGTACTATCTAAACTCAGATTTAGCCTCTACTTTCGTATGTAGGTGTGTATATATATATTTCATATATATACACTTTTCATATGTATACATTTTTAAAATTCTTATAATAACCAATTGAGTATTTTACTATTTGGAGAATGTTATAGCTCCCTAAGTTGCAATACACCTTGAGAGATACCCTGTAGATACTCTTTGCAGTTAGGAAACAGAAACATATTTAATCCCTATGTATCTGTCCGTTCAGTTATCTTCTAATTCAATTCATAATTTCCTTCATGCCAAAATATTCCAAATTTTAAAGAAGCAACTAAGGTAGCTATAATAAACAAAAACCTATTAATGATGTTGAATACAATGTAGCAGGATGAAATTTAATGTAGTTTTACTGTATTGTAGTTACATTAAACTGAACTACAAGTAAAAAATGGAAAAAACACTTAAGTTTCTGCCTACCATGTGCCACAGAGTGTGGCCTCTGCCCGTAAGGAGCTTGCAAGCTAATGGGGGAGACAGGCAGATACCTAATTAAATTAGTTTTACTTACTGTGGCAGGTGCTAAGATAGGAGGATGCCAGGATGCTATGAAGACTCTCATAGGAGGCTTCAGTCTGACCTGGAGATTTGGTAAGGCTTCCTAAGATCTGGCCACTTCTTTCCATCTCCACTGTTGCCACCGTGATCCACATCACCATCATTTTCTAACTGGGTCTCTGCAGTTGCTTCCTGACGGGTTTGCTAGCTTCCACTCTGGCCTCTCTGTACGGGGCCAAGACGAGTTTTCCTGTTTGTTTGCTTTTGTATTTTTGTGTATTTAATGTAATTCATATCTTGGGACACCCAAATAAAAACCCAGTAAATAAATAAATAAAACCTCTAAATATACACCAGTGGCTTCCCATAGATTTCAGAGTAAAATCCAGGCTCCCTTCCATGACAGACAAGCCCGTGGTAGACCTGACTTCTGCTGCCTTCTCCAGTTTCGTTTCATACCATTCTCTCCACAGTCACCTTCCCCAGCTACCCTGACCTTACTTCTGTGCCTCACCTACAGCAGGCTCGTTCCTCTGCCGCCAGGCTTTACAAAGCTCCCCGTTTTCTCTGTCGTAAAAACTCTTTGTGAGTTTTCGCCTGGCCTGGACCAATCTCAGCTTGAGTTTCACCTCCTAGAAACGCCTTCATTCACCGTTTTCTCTCCTCCCCAGTTTCTTCCTGTAGCCTTTTGTCATTATCTGAATTCATGTGTGTGTTATGTGTTTATTTTCTGTCTTTTTACTCCAAAATGTTGGTTCCATGAGAGCTAAACCCTGTCTATCTTGTCCTCCACTCTCTCTCAAGCCGTAAGTATATAGCAGACTGCTCAATACGTATTTGCTGAATAAATGAATAAAAGGTGTCTGAGCTGAGTTGGGAAGGATGAGAAAGACTTAGCCAGTCTAAGAACAGTGGAAAGGTAAGAGAATAGCGTGAACAAAGACACAGAAGCATGGACTGGCCTGGGGTGTGCAGAGGAATAGAAGTGCTCAGTGCTGCCAGACAGTGGAGTGTCAGTAGTGGTGGACGTGGCTGGTGACAACGACAGGAATTCGCTCACAGAGGCCATCATGTGTTGTGACCTTGAGCTTTATGATTTAGAGGGTGTGAAACTGTCAGACTTCAGCTTAGATCAGTGTTTCTCAAACATTTTTAACCAAGACCCACAGTTTACATTTTATTTGTAAACTGAGATTCATCCCTCAGTTTTAGAGGCCACCACATTCCTTGGCTCAGGCCCCCTTCCTCCAACTTTGAAGTCAGCGGCAGCAATCCTGACATCACGGCTCTGACCAACTCTCTGCCTCCCTCATCCACAAAGACTCTTAGATTTTTAGGGCCTACTTGCATACCCAGGATAATCTTGCCACCTCAAGGTCCCCAGCTTTAATCACATCTCCAAAGTCCCTTTGTCATGCAGTATAATATATTCATAGGTTCTGGGGATGAGGGCATGGACATCTTTGGTGGGTCAGCTCATATTCCTCCCTCCACCTCCCCTTTCCCTTCTTTCTTTCTCTCAATAAACATTTTTTGAGTACTCTCTCCCAATGCCGAGTGCTGGCATACAGCAGTGAGCAGGACAGTCAGTGTTCCTGCTCACATGGTGGCTGAAATTCTAGCACAAGGATAGATGACAAACAAGTAATCAAGTAAATTAACAAGGTAAGTACAGATTCTACCATTAAATCAATCAATCAATAAGGTGATAAATAGAAAGGAGCTGGGCAAGACCACTTTGGCTAGGTGGTCAGGGAGGGGCTCTCTGAGGAAGTGACACATGATCTGAGATCGGAATGATGTAAGTCAGTCAGCCACTAAGAGCCGGGGGAAGAGGATTCTAGCAGAGGAAATGAAAAGTGCAGAGAACCCGGAGCAGCAAAGGGCATGTCTTGTTCAAGGAACAGTCTGAAGGCCAGTGTGAATGAAGCAGAGCTGGGAAGGCAAAAAAGTAGAGCAAATGATGGTGGCGAGATGGGAGATGTGAAGCCGTGCAGCGGCTGAAAGAGTCCTGTGTGGTAAGGACTTCGGATTTTTTCTAACAGCAGTGGGACCCTTGGACAGGGTTTAAGCAGTGGTGCTGTGAAGCAGGTAACATAATCTGATGTATGTTTTTAAAAGGTAGTCAGCTTTGTGAAAATGACTTAGACAGGGGCAAGGATGGATTGGAGAGACACATTAAGGAGCTACTGTAGTCACCTAGAGGAAAGATGATGATGGTTCAGACTAGAGCGAAGACGGTAGAAATGGAGAGAAGTTGTCTGATCTGTGACACATTCTGGAGGTAAAATTGACAGGACTTAGTGATGGTTTGACTGTGGGGCATGAGAAAGAGGGTGGAATCAAGGATGATGTTGAATTTTTGAGCAACTTAAGGGATAAAAATGTTATTCCCTGAGGTAGAAAAGGCGAGGGGAAGAACCAGTTTGGAAAAGGGGAACCAAAAATTCAAATTGAACATATTAATATTGAACAGTCTGCTAGATGTCCAAGAAGTGATACAAAGGAGACAGACATGTGAGGCTGGAGCTCAGAGCAATATCTGAGTTGCAGAAAAGCATCTGAGAGTCTTTAACATAGAGGTGATATCTAGAGCCAGGGGACCAGGTGAGACCCCTTGGGAGAGAGTAGAAATAGAGGGAAAAATAATGTCTTGAGTGTACTAAGGTCCTCCAAGACTTAAAAGTCAGGAGCAAGAGGAAGAGCAATGAGAAAAATCTATTGAAAAGATGCTAATATTATTTGGGAGCTTCCCTGAGTGATGACTGGGTTGGAGGTGGAGGAGTCAAAAGAGCAAGTGGACATGGTCCTAGAAGCCCACTAGGGCAGAACTGTTGTATCTCCAGCACTTAGCTCCATCCTGGCACATGAATGGCAGCCATCTCTGTTCAGTGAACGAGTGAATTTTTCTGAGGCTCTCCAGTACATTCTGGCACATTTCTAGGCATGGAATTGAGATGAACATTTGCATTGACTTGTTGCCAGTGGCCTGACATCACAGGACTTTCCAGCCTACTTCATGGATTTTTTGCCCACCTTTAATAGAATTTAGAGAATTTGCTAAAGTCTCTCCTTAGGTTTAAATTGTAAACAGATATTTGCATTTTTCCAAATCATTCAAGATACAGGTACTTAGTAAAATAAATAAGTAGTGAGTAAGCAAGCAAACAAACAAGTGAAATTGAACTTCTGTAGAAGACCCGAACAGCCTCCTCAGAACCCTTGGGATTCTTTTCTTACAGCCAAAGAGATCAGTCATTTACTAAATTCAAGGGCAGGGGAGGGTTGGGGAGTTATCAGCCCCTTTTGAATCTCCTGTTACTTCCAAAAGCACATGACTGGATCAGAAATTCTCACTACTCTTGGAATTTAAGTCTGAGTTTGACTATAATGATGCAGCCCTGTTTGGAAGAAAATAAGTTTTGTGTGAGACTGAGACTCAGAAGGTTAAGTGACTTGCCCATAGTCTCAAAGTATTTAAACCCAATTCTAAAAGACTTCATTAAAAAAAAAAATCTTAACAATATGGAGAAAATTAAAGGGACATTTTATCCTCTAAATGGGGTTAGTTCTGGTATTTTCTGAATGTATTTAACATGAATGAATTTGTGGTTTTTCTTTAACAAGGAAAAATACAGAGGTGCATTCCAGAGTTGACTGTTCATGGCACATACAGTTAGAGGATGCTCACTGGCACTTATTTTTGTCATCATGTCACTGTTGGTTAAGGCCAAAATAGGTAAGCTATTTGTGGAATCTGATCCATGGAGGGATTTTTGGTTTAAAGTCCTCAGTTTCAGATGAACTATGTATGTGTGGCACATGTCCTGGTAGTTGGTCTTCTGCAGTCAGTTTCCTCTCATGGGTAAGTAGGTAAGTCTGGTTCTGTGTCTGTAACTAATATGTGTTTTATTTAATTCGTACCAATGGTTAAGAGTCCAGTCATATCGTTTCCTCTTAAGAAAGTGACTAGGTAACCAAACTAGATATCATGAATGAATGTTTTATGTTATTGTGCATTTTAACAGAGGGTGTTCATGAACGGATTCAGTTATCCTAAAAAAAAGAAAAAAGGTTGGCATTTTCTTCGCTTATTTTTTACCTTCTGGCCCATTAGGATCAAAGAAAATCAAAGAAACAGAAAACAAACATAAGAGAGAGAAAGAGACTTTTAGTTTTAGTTCTGAAAATTAAAACTTTTCACTTAAAATAAATATTCAGTATTTCCTTTATTTGATGTGAATAACTTTTTTAACCAGTTTCTGTTTATGGTAGTTAATCCAAGCAACCTTATAATTACCAAAAAAAAAAAATCGGTGGAGGCTTTATCTCACATCTAAAAATCCAGGGTGTATCTATAGCTCTGAGGTTTTTTTCATTTTTCATTGACAGTTACTGAGTACTACCTTAAACTGCTAATTTCTGATTAGTTGTCATATTTACATATACAAACTTCTAGAAAGTAAGAATGATCTCTCTTTTAACTAAGAGTGTAATGTGGGACCTGGCACATAGTAAATAATACGGAAAACTCTTTTTAAAAGAAGAATACATTCATGTAATTTCGTATTAGCTGTATTGGGAAATGGATCGTCCAGTCCAGGGTCTTACATCTTGAAGGAATAGCAAGGTACGGCAGGTTAGACCTAATTTCTGTCCTTGATGCCAACTGCAAACACACCAGAGCCCCTGAATATTTTCTCCTTGTTATAAAATAAATGTAGAGGTTACACATACATTATATTCCTAATTTGGCAATAGAGGAAATTATTCCCACATCTGCCCCTTAACATTTGTAATAGCCTTTAAAATGTTTTTAATAGCTTTTATAATCTTTTTGATATGAGTATTGAAGTAAGTATTATAAATTATAAATGGAAACAAATGTGATTTTTTCTGGGAAGTACTTTTAGTAGTCTGGTGAATAATTTGCATGTAAGAGAGATTGGTTTTTCTTGGAACTGTGTTCCTGAATGTTCTTCCAACTCTATTTTTTCACCACTTTCCTATTTATAGTTCTGGTTGTAGTATTACTGTTTTGAGAAGGCTGTGTATTTTAATTCAAACACAGTTAGACTTTCAGAGGGTTGCCTTCTGTCCTCACTGTGCTTCACCAGAGCCGTGTAGCTTATGTCTGTTTCTATGGTTTGATGGGGTTAGTTTTACCCAGCTTTAGGGAAGTACACAAACCCTCCATCTTGAAATGGGTTTCCTATGGGCTGATTGGGATTGCGTTTGTGTCTTATTGCAGATGTGTGCAAGAGAGGAGATGTGACTGTGGGGCCGTCCCACGTAATTTCACTTGGATCAGCTGTCAATATTTCGTGCTCTTTGAAGCCCCAACAAGGCTGCTTGCGATACCCCAGTTTTAACAAGTTAATCCTCTACAAGTTCGACCGAAGAATCCATTTTCAGCATGGTCACTCCCTCAGTTCTCAAGTCTCAGGTCTTCCCCTGGGTACAACTCTGTTTGTCTGCAAACTGGCTTGTAGCAGTAACGAGGAGATTCGAATATGTGGGGCAGAGATCTCCGTTGGTGGTGAGCATTCCATTCTGAGTTCCTAAAAACTGGTCATCATCTGGCATTTGTCATGTATTAAGCAGAAATCCAAATATAGGACAGTGTTCTTTCTTCTCCCACCACATGGATGTATTTCATCTTTTTTTTTTTTAATTTGAAGTGTAGTTGTGTGTGTGTGTATTCTTTTTCAGGTTCTTTTCCATTATAAATTACTACAAGATATTGAGTATAGTTCTCTGTGCTATACAGTAGGCCCTTATTGTTGATCTATTTTATACATAATAGTGTGTATATGTTAATCTCAAATTCCAGGTTTATCCTTCTTCCCCACCCCGTTCCCCTTTGGTAATCATAGTTGTTTTCTATGTCTGTGAGTCTATTTCTGGTTTGTAAATAAGTTCATTTATATCATTTTTTCTTCTATTTATTGAAGTATAGGCAGTTTACAGCGTTGTGTCAATTTCTGGCGTACAGCGTAATGTTTCAGTCATACATATACATACATATATTCCTTTCCATATTCTTTTTCATTGTAGGTTACTATAAGATACTGAATATAGCTCCCTGCGCTACGCAGTATAAACTTGTTGTCTATCTATTTTATGTATAGCAGTTAGTATCTGCACATCTCAAACTCCCGGTTTATCCCTTACCACCCCCTTCCTCCCTGGTAACCATAAGTTTGTTTTCTATGTCTGTGAGTCTGTTTCTGTTTTGTAAATGAGGTTTTTTGTATCAATATTTTTTAGATTCCGCATGTAAGTGGTATCATATGGTATTTGTCTTTCTCTGTCTGACTAACTTCACTTAATATGATAATCTCTAGGTCCATCCATGTTGCTGCAAATGGCGTTTTTTTTTTTCTCTTGGATGTACTTAACCTTGAGAGTAACATGAGCACCTTGATGTGAGAAGTCCGAGTCAGTAGAACTGGGATCTCTTTTACTCAGTTTCCTTATCCTCTCTTCTTGCCTCTCCTCTCCTCTCCCCTTTCCCCCACCCCCTTTCTTTCTTTCTTTCTTTTTCGCTCCTCTTTTTGGCCATTAAGATGATTTACCTGTTGCCCTTGGACTCCAGCGGCAGAAAAATGGTTTTCCGCAGCTGAGTCTTCATGCCTTCTTGGCTTGTGAGAATTTGTTCAAAGCCGCAACTTCCTAAAAAGAAGAAAGAGATGTCCCTCTTGACATCTGCACCCCAGGATGACTGCCCAAGGCTGAGCACTTCTTCCCTAACTTACTGCACAAAAATAGTTCTTCCTTCCGCCCTCACTCCTGACCACTGGCTGTTGTGCTTAGCAGAGGTAAAAGAGAACTATCATTATACTTACTATCCTTTCCTTGGTTTCCTAGAAAACTTCCTGAGGCAGAACTGACATGCTAAGACTTCTTGGGGAGAGGGGAGTTGCTTCCAGGGAAGCAAGAACGAGGGAGTGAACCAGGACAGGAGAAAAGCAGACTTGAGGTAGTTAAGTTACTGAGTTGGCCACAGTGTCAACAGAAAATACAACTGGTTACTTGGTCACTAGGGACATCCCCAGAAAGAATATATGAAAATATAGTGACAGGTGAGAGAATTTAACTGTGTGCCATTGGTCAAAGCTCACTCACAGGGTGAGCTCCCACACGCTGCTGCCTTTCATTGCTGGTGCCTCCAGGCAGCTGCTGGGGGTAAGAACTAATATGTCAGAGTTGGCGTCTGCAGCCTGAGCCACAGTGCACAGGGTGAGCCAGCAGCACACCTTCCTGCAGCTTGCAGCCTGCAGCCTCGAGGGCCCATGAGCATGCGTAGGCCCTGAGCGATCCCACAGCACTCTGTGCCTCTGTGGTACCAGGGGAGCTCCCGAGTGGCAGGTGAGAGGCATGAGGAGAGTAGGAGGAACTGCTGCAGTGGACTGGCTGACCACGGTGCAAGGACAGGGTCCCTGCAGGAAGACAGTTAGAGAGAGCTCAGTGAGACCTTTCAGGAAAGATGGAAGCCTCTTCTCTGTGACCCATAAGGATATGGTTGGTGCCAGGCAGTTTTCCTGGAGGGCCACCACAAGCATTGAGCAGAACACCAAGCAAATGGCCAAGCAAGTCATTTAGGGGTCAGAAGGCACAACCTAGATCCAGTACTCGTCTTCCAGCTCAGGGGCTCCTGCTCACATCACACATGAATCACATACTGTCAGCTCTGACAGCCTGTGGTGTAGTGGAAGGAGCAGGGGCTTTGAGTGCCACTAACGGCAGACCCGTAGTTTCAGTTGTGTGAGCCTCCGTTTCTCCATCTGTGTTATGAAGATACTAACACCTGCCCCGTAAGATGGTTGTAGTGATTAGATGACGCCTTGTATGCAAAGTGCTTAATCTAGTACCAGGCACATAGGAGGCGCTTAAATGTTGAGCGCTCGGGTTGCAATGCCATCAGTTTTGCTCTTTCCTTCATGTGTGCAGCATGCTGGGTAGCTGAGCCTGTTTCTCTTGACAAGAAGTACAAGCAGCATTGGTTATCGGCAAAACGAAAAATTTTCTGAAAAATACCATTGATCCTCACCTCCCTTGTCCTCAGAACACCTGAATATTTCATCCAGGTAATTCTCCATCCTACTAGACCAACATACCATATTGGCATTAGACATCTTCAGCCCTGTGATATCAGTTGCAGGCGTCTGCAGTGCTGCAGGAGGCTGACAATGGCCTTGAAAGTCAGTGTCCTTGCAGATGTCCTTTCTTGGCCATTCCATTTCTTGTCTTTGCTCTGACGCATCAGAGTGCTGCAACCCCTTTTCGTTTGTTTCCTTTTCCATCCAGAGTATGTGGATGGGTCTGTGACACTTTGCAGCATCGGAAGACCTAGGGAGATGGTGAAGAGTGTCTGACTGGTGCAGCTCAGCTGGACGCTGCTGCTGGAATGCTGCCTTGTGCAGCGTGCTCAGGTGGTAACCACACCATCAAACGGCTGCTCTTTGAACAAGCTTAGCACCTTTGAGGTGAAGGACTGCCTGGAAGCAACACCTTTTTCTGAGTATGGCTATTCATTCCAAGAAAAGACACAATGAATGTTGATTTTCCCCAGCGCAGTAAGCCCAGTCCTAGCTATTGAAGGAGCCAGCGGCCCGTTTTCTTTGTCTGTGACAAGTAGGAGCCCCTAGGGCCATTGCATGTCCTGAGAGGGCCTGCCATAAAGTTGGCTGTCGTGTCAGAACTGGGAATGGGTAAATGGCCTTTGAACTTTCTCCTCTCGGCCTCTCGCCTGGGCTGGTGCTGCTCTGCTGCTCAGAGCTCGTCCAAATGTGTAGTAGCTAAACAACCGGTGCTCTAGTTAACCTCCGAGCATTGAGCCGCAGGCTGTTTGGACAATCAAGGAAATAAATGAAAGACAGTAGATTCTTGCTTAGTTGTTTTCAGTGTACGCTTGGCTGTTGATATTTCTGAAAGCCATTTTTCCAAGACTTTTTATTTCCCGTAAGAAGTAGGGCTTTAAAAAATAATAACAAGCATAGTACTTGTAACAACTCATTACACTGTAAACTATTTTAATTTTCGGAGACTTTGATTTCTGTCCTTTCCTTGGCATCAGCTATTGTAATATATACATATTATATTATAATTTGTATTGAAGAGAATTAGGTCTGGCTTCCCCTGAGACAGTCTCTGACCAAACCAAGTCCTAGCTGAAGTAGACACATTGATTTCATGGTCCAGGAAACTCACGTTGAGAAAGTTGATTTGTGATTAAAAGCTATGGTCTTTAAAGTGAGATGCTCTGCCGACGTTAAGGAGTAAAGGTGAGGATGTGACTGACTTTTTCATTATGTGAAAGTGCCAAGTACTTTATATCTCCTTCGGTCATCAAAAGACCCTATAAAGTGTCAGGGTAAAGATGTTGGTTTGAACACATGTATTTACTTTTATTCCCCCTGAAATATAGCCAAGATGCAGTAAAAAGACAGTTTTCCAGAGGCACAAACCCTAAAGAACAAAAAGAATGGGAGGGGAGACACAGCAACAAAGTTTTGGAAGCAGGAAAGCATGTGGACCAACCATAACTGGCTTAGCCTACGGCTGGCAGTGAGAAACATCAAGATGCAACCTGAGTTAATGCAGAAGCTCCCACCCCAGAAAGACCCAGAAATTGGTGATACCATGTACTTCTGAGAGTGAGGGTAAAAGTAGGGATTAAAAATGGGAGATTTGATTGAACATCTACTTTAAAAAACATGTCCTCAGCTCCCCTTCCTAATTCCAAATAGCCAGACAGCCACCGCTCCACTACGCTGGTGTGGGTATCAGAGGGCCGCTGAGCTGGTGTCAGCCAGTTCAGCTGAGATTGTAGGGCCATGCTGAAAAACAGAGGGACTGAAGGAATATTGACATACAGCTCCTTTCAGGCCTGTGCCGACCTCCAGGCAGATTAGAAGATCCTTTTCTGGAAAATCTGACCAGGCTGAGAGGAAGTATCTAAAATTATTTGCAACAGAGATTCCTAAGAAATTCTAGCCAGATCACCTTGGAGTGAAGCCCAGGGTCAACAAATGCACGTCAACTGACATGCCTGCAGAGCTGCAATTTATAATTTAGTGCCCCACTCCCATAGATGAGTAAAAATACAAAGATCCGAGGAAAATGGCCAACTTGAAGGACAGAAACCAAAATAAGCATGTGGGGAAAAAAGCATATAAGCAAAGTAGAAGTGTATTCAGGGAGAAGAAATGTTAAAAAAAAAAAAACTATCCTTGATACCTTAGGAATTAAGAGAAAATACTGCGTACAGAACAAAAATAGGATGCTGTAAAGAGAAAACATTCAGAGAATAGAAAACATGCCCCACCCCCCAAAAAATTGATAAGTGGAAATGAAAAACTCAACAGGAGGGAATAAATGTAAACTGAGGAGGTTTTCCCCCATATTACAGCAAAAAAGTCAAGAGTTTTAAAATGTAGGAGATAAAACATAAAATTAGAGGAAGGTCCAACCTATGAAAACTAGGGATTTTTAGAAAGAGAAAAACAAGACAGGTGAGGATTATCAGAGAAAAAATTCAATAATGTTTCCCAAACTAAAAAATAAAAGTTCCCAGAATGTATGAACTCTTTGAGAATCCATGAGAATGAAAGAAAATAGACCTCATTAAGCACATCTTTGTGAAAATTCAGAATAGTGGGGACAAGGAGACGATTCCACAATCTTCTGGTTTGTTTTTGTTTTGTTTATATTTTTCCTTTTTAAAAATTTCCTCAGTTTCTTTTTTTTTTCCTTTTTTAGTTTTTTTTTTGCGGGGGGGGGTAGAATTAAGTTTATTTATTTATTTATTTTTAAGGGAGGTGCTGGGGATTGAACCCAGGACCTTGTGCATGTTAAGCATGCACTCTGCCACTTGAGCTATACCTCCCCACACAATCTTCTGAAGAGGAAAAATAAAGTATTCCAATGGTTCAAGATTCAGAATGGCTTTAGATTTCTCAAAATCCATCTAGAGTGTAGAAGACAGTAGAGCATAATCTACAGAACCCTGAAAAATTCTTTTCAAACTAGAATTCTATACTCAGCTAAAATATCAGTCAAGTGTCAGGGTAGAATAATGACATTGGTAGCTATGTTCAAAGTACTGCCTCTCCTGCACTTTTTCCCAAGGAACTGCTGGAGGATATAATCCAACACAAGTGGTTAAATCAAGAAAGAAGAAAGCATTGGATCTAAGAAACAGGAGATCCAACACAGAGGGAAAAAGAGGGAAAAAAAAGGAATTTCCAGGACACCGAGGACTGGCAGTTCTAGAAAGCTGTGTGCAGGCATAGAAGCAAACACATCTTTTTGGAAAGTTCACAAGGCTCCAAGAAACTAGTCTTCCAGCCAAAGAAACTAATAGAATTCTCATCTGAATGTGTTGAATAATGATTCAGATAATTGGCTTGAGAGTTTGGAATTATATTAGTAAGAAAACTAAACAAATGGAAAAACATAACAATTAATTACTACCTCCAAGATAAACAAGACATTGTACATAAAATGAAAAATTAACATAGTATTTTACATGGCTTAGTCATAAGTAGTTGTATATACAGATTGTATAAAGTGTATATATAGATGTACATATGTCTGTTATTTTAGGAAAAGAAAGAGTTTATTATTCCATTAAGCAAAACTATATGAGCTACATATTGTTATACCCATTTTATAGATGAAGAAACTGAAGCTCTGAGAAGTTCATTTGGCCAAAGTCACACAGTGGGCAATTATAACACCCAGATCTATGGTGTGTGCTAAGGACAAAACAACTTTTATTCCATCAGTTACAGCTTTTTTTCTGAGCAGATGATAGCTGGGGCATTAGTAGTGTACTTGTTTTATCTCACCCAAAGGAAGCATCTATCTACATGTGGGTCTCAGTACTAGGGTAGAATGAAATAATCGAGTAACAGAGTATTTTCTCTTACCTCCATTAAACCTAAGAAGCTCCTAGCTTTGAGGTCCGTCTTTGACTATAAAATCGCTTCATTGAATATATATACCTTCTAATAGAAGGGACCGTGCCTGCCTCATGCACCTTTGCATTTCCACAGCTAGCACTGTGCCTAGCACCTGGAATGTTGTCTATGTCTGTGTACATAAAAAATTAATTTATAAATGTTCATAAAGTGATCCAAGTGATGCTGCAGAAATTAGATTTAGGTAGTACAGTCCAGGAAGGCATGACTAGGGTCAGTGGATAGAAGTGTCTTGGCAGCAAATTTCAGGTCAATGAAGAGAGAAAGCCCCTCATTTTGAAAGGTTTCTAATGTTTCAATGGGCTTCATCCTAAAAAAGTAAACTCATCATGACCTGGGGTGCTGGAGCTAGCACCGGATGTTCACCTGTCAGGGAGAATAGTAGCACATGGTGGTGACAGGCTTGGACTCAAGTCAGCCACGCCTGGGCTGGAGCCCTGAATCTGCCACTTCATAGTTTTGGAATCTTGGGCAAGGTACTTCGCCTCTAAGTCTCAATTTCTTTCCTCTTCAATAAAATGAGGATAATAGTGGTAGGTACGCAGTGTAGCTGCTATGATGTGCAATTGAGAAAAACTACATATAAAACACTTAGCATAGGACTTGTCATATAGTTAAGTGTTGGATCCATATTCACTGTTACCACTATTATTATTAAAGGAATTCATGCCTATGAGGCAAATTTGAACTTGATGAATTTTGAAATAGTTTCCAGCTCATCTGGGTATGGGAGACACAGGGGAAGTGTTGTTACCTTGTTGGCAGATAGGTACAGTGTAATTTGAAATATCACCTGTGTGCTATTTAAAATAGGAAGTTTTGCTCTTTCCTTTTAAAGTTGTTCCAGAACAGCCTCAAAACTTATCTTGTATACAGAAGGGAGAATATGGGACCGTGACCTGCACCTGGGAGAGAGGACGAGACACCCACCTGTATACTGCATATGCTTTACAGTGAGTGAGACTGAATTTTTGCAGCTTTTTTGGTAGGTCTTCTTTTGGATGATATTTAGAAATATCTAACAGTCCTAGTTTTATCAGAGAGAAGGAGCAATAGACACATCTAATTATATAATTAGATACTTAAAAAAAATTCTAGTGTTCATCAGTTAAAGTTGGTTCACTCACCTGAAGTGTGAAAATTCTGTCTTGGGTCTGAGGACTAACTCAGAGTTCCCTTCAGGGCATCCAAGGCCCGCTGTGGACATTATTCCCTGCTCTCTAGGGTTAAACTGGCTGCATTATATCCCTTCTCTCTTTTGCAGTTGCAGACTCTTGGGGTCAAGATCTATAAATAGACTCTTTTCTGTGGTAGCTTTCCATTAGCCTTGGAGGAGTTTCTTTTTATTTATTTTTTTTAACTCCAGCATAATTTTTAAAAATTTTGTTGAAATATAGTCAGTTTACAATGTTTTGTCAATTTCAGGTGTACATACAGCACAATGTTTTAGTCATATCCATACGTACATTCATTTTCATTTTTTTTCACTATAGGTTACTACAAGATATTGAATATAGTTCCCTGTGCTATACAGAAGAAACTTGTTGTTTATCTATTTTATATACAGTAGTTAGTAGTTAGTATTTGCAAATCTTGAGCTCCCAATTTATCCCTTCCCATCCCGTTTCTTCCCCTGGTAACCATAAGTTTATAGGATTTTCTTTTTAAAGCACCTTTGCCTGACCTGAGAGTCCACTAAAAGAGAGAGTCTGGGAGATTCTTTTCCTTTTGGACTTTATTGCATAATCCCATGCAGAGATCCAGCTGGTAGCACTGTGCCTAAGTGAGCAGGAGATGGGGGAAAGGAAGTGGGGCCCAGAGTTCTGGTCTGTACTAGGATCTGGCACTTCTGTGCAGTAAGCACCGAGGTGGTGGTCATGGATCCTTTGGATGATTGGATCTGCCCTAAGGAGCCAAGATGTCTGCCGGGGTTTTGGGAATTCAGGCTATATAGAGATGGTTACTCATCTGTATGAATGTCAAAAAAATATCAATCCTACCAATAAGAGGGAAGAGGGGTGAAGTATGGTCCTGTTTATGACCACAGAATGCAAATTTTCCCATAGTGTATCCCCTAGTAGTAAGACTGACCTTAAAAAAAAAAGTCTAGAATTTTAAATATTTGAGCATTTTACTCTTCTGTGCTAAAAGGAAGCAGTAGCACATAAAGTATCCTGCTAAACACAGTGTCTTTATTTACAGGTTAAATGGGCCAAAAAATTTAACTTGGCAGAAGCAGTGTGATTATCATTATTGTGACCATTTGGACCTTGGCATCAACCTAACCCCTGAATCACCTGAATCTAGTTACACAGCCAAGGTGACTGCTGTCAATAGTCTGGGGAGTGCTGCTTCGTTGCCATTCACGTTCACATTGTTGGACGTAGGTACGTATCATTTCACTTTTTGTAGGTGTCGATCATGGCACATAGACATTATTTTTAAAATCACTCAAATGTTCAGCTCTTTATAGCTCATGTCAATTTCTGATCCTGGAGCCGGAATCACACTTTTTTGTCTGTCCTGGTTACTAGTGTGGCCTCTTCCTCCGTGGGACATTAGGATCAAGTTTGTAAATGCTTCCGTGAGCAGGTGTACCCTTCAATGGAGAGATGAGGGGCTGGTGCTGCTTAATCGACTCAGATATCGGCCCATTAACAGCAGGTCCTGGAATATGGTAATGGCCTTAGAGTGCAGGGGAAAACCAGCAAGGGGTTCTTGGTAACACTGCCCTGATCTCTCTTTTCACTCTGGTGAAATATGGAGTTTAAGAATATTTAGCCCAAAAGTACACACACACGTTTGAGATATACCAGAAAGTCACATATGCTTCTATTTAGTAAGAAATGTCTTAAAATTTGATCGCTGATTCTGAAATTTTTAAGCCGTGGGCTTCTTGTAAACCCACATTAATTTTCTACAATTTATTTCTAGTAAATGACTCATTTCTACTTATTAGTGTATTCCCTATCACATTATTACTTTGTATGAATTTTTTTAATATATTAGGAAGAGAAATATTAGGAAATGTTCAGAGGCTTATATTAATTCGATATTCCAAAGGTAGAGCTTTGGTATAATATTAAGCATTAAATTTTTTATAATAAAAATACAGGATAATATTCCTTTCAGTATTTTTGTAAAATATAGTGGCTTATAATAATACCAAAGGATCAGCTTCACATCTAGAGAAGTATAATAATAAAATTTTTCTTATATAATTTTCTTATATAATTAAAGTTTCCTTTTGGAACCAGTTCTGTGTCTGTGTTAAAACATTCATCATATTCTAGTTGTGACCAAGTAAAAAGTAATCTCTAGTGTAGGAAGAAACTTCGTCAAGGCCCTTTTGAAAATTGGTAGTTTTCAATCTTTATTTTTCAGCTGGCCTCAGGATTCCCCTTGGAATCCATATAGATGGGTTCTTAGTCCCAGGAATTTTTTGGTTTTGTTTTTTAATGAGAAGCATTGTTTCAGAGTAACATCACTTGTATTAAGTAGACCAGTCATTGATATTTCTTCTCATTGAATGACAGATTTGAAAAATAAGAAGGGCTATCTAGTCTAGTTGTCTTATCTTTTATTTAAATTAATCTAGTATTAACCGGTGCCTTTTTAAATCTTGTTGGGTTCAAGGTTAATGCTACAAATGCCAAAGGAAGACATGATTTGCTGGATCTGAAACCCTTTACAGAATATGAATTTCAGATTTCCTCTAAGCTACATCTTTACAAAGGTATTTGGAGTGATTGGAGTGAACCACTGAGAGCACAAACACCAGAAGAAGGTATGTGTCAAAAAAAAAAGGGGGAGGGCGGGGAGGGGAGGAAAGACAGGAGAGAGAGGAAGATGTAATTATTTCCTTGGAATAGAATTTCTAAAGTACTGATACTGAATCAAAAACTATGAGTGGATTAATTAACAAGCTCACTTTGACACTGACTGAAGTATTAAAGCTTCCAGGGAGATATGTTTATACTGCTAGGAAATTTTTAACATTAGGTAAGTCTTATTCTTGTTTGCCACATGTTGTCATGTTGGTTGCAAGCTTATGCCTCAGTAATGTTTCTCTCTCTTATTTCTATTTCACTTACAGGAACTCACTCTTATTCCGCAAAGCTATAACCAGTAATTTCATTCCTTTATAATTAAACTTTGATAATTTTACCTTTTGGATTCTATGAATATTAATATGATCTTATAAGCCATACTAAAAGCTTGACAAAAGGTAGACAGTTTTCAAAGCATTCAATTGTGATACAGGATACAACTTCATAATTTCTGGGTAAATTTATCTCAAAGGAAAAATAATTGGTGTATAATCCATTGCTTTATTATCTGGAGATTTTGAAGCATTAATGTGAGAAAACTAATATTTGTGAAATTTATAGATACGTGTGCATGTAAACTAGCCTCATGATTTAAGTTATATTCATCTCCTGTGAGCTAATAGTGATTTCTGGTAACTGATGACACTTTAACACTTCTCAATGACTTTCAAGGATCTAAACTATTAATAAAATAGATAATTAATATATAAATTATAGAATAATTGCATATTCTTCCTTTCTTCTTATACTAATTACATTTCTCCATTTTCAAAAGAAGTTTAAAAATGAATTCATTCAACAAATTATAATTAATTCATCTTATTTTATAATAAAAATCTCTTAAATTAATGTTGAGCCACTTACTCTCTATTTAAATGTGTGTCATTTTTATAATCCAGAGTTTACTCTTATTATCCTTTTATTACACTTGTCAAAGTAATGCCTTTTCTAGAATACCTCATGGATTGGATTTTGTTTATACATAGTGCAGATAAAATTCTTGAAAATGGGCTGTATTTTATGTCCAAGTCCAAGGTAGCAAATAGGCTGGGACATTTTTAAGTTATATCACATTAAGCTAAACTGTAAACTGGGGAAACTCTGGGCTTGTAAATTCCTATCATTTTTACTCACACTTGATAATGACCTGTTTAGAGATGTGTGAAAATGTTTTTCTTTCCTTTTTTTTTTTAAAGTATTTATCTACTTGAATTAAAAACCCTTTAAGGCAGGCTGGGATGGTAACTTTCTCATAGCCTATAAAATAAACCACCATCATAACAATGAGCGCAGTGACTTGTGATGGCTATGAACTCGTGGATTGTTATGAATGGAACCAAGGAAGCTGGCTTATTCAGAGTGATTGCAGGCATTCATGAAGATGGAAGCCCATACTCTGAGATATACCACGCTTACCAAGCTCTGCTGGCTTCCTTTCTGTGCCTGAATCGCCCTTTTTTGTGTTTGATCTTTCTGTGGGTTGTTGTAAGAACCCTTTTCTCTTACTCTAAGCTCTATGGTTTTCACCTCTTACCACTGTTTCTGTCATCAGTTTCTGTATGAAACACCAACTGATGTCAACGTAAAAGGTGTGAAATTTTTTTAACACTTCTTCCTTTTAACCCTTGAGATGTGTACTCATATGTAACTTGGCGTTTAAAAACATACTAGTAAGCTTTTTTTTTTAATTTACTCACTAAAACTGAATGATCTTATGATAGAGTGCTTTCTTTGCAGCCCTTTCCACTCAAAACACAGCAATATGTTATCTCCCAGCGGATTAGGTGCAGTTTTTTTATAGCATGCCAGCAGAGAATGAGGGCAGTATTTACTCTATGTGGCCCCTTCCTGTGTCATTAAATTCAACCCCTATCATGATCCTCCATGAAAAACACTTTTAAAATGACCGCAAAGTAAGGGGTAGGAGGAAAGAAATCACTGCCCTGTGTTTAGGAGGACGGTCCGGCAATCAGTATCCATCAAACATGAGCCTGATACTGGGAAGCGAGCAATCGTGTTTTGCTTCTAGTGGGAAAACTTTGGGCTGCATGGTGTCCAGAAATGCCTGAGAATATTCCCAGGTGTTGGGGGAAGATGATCCCTCACCACCTCGAACACCCAGGAGGAGAGTCCAAAATAAAGTTGAGTGAGCTATTCCTTAGCACTGTATTACCAATTCGGTGTTTCTGTCTGTTCATTCATCCTTTTTCAAAGTCTTATTTATATGTTTGGTCTTGCTGAACTCAACTGTGGACAGTTAATAAAAGTCTTAAATCCTCATACAAGTGCCTGAGTGGTAAAGAGCAGACCTCCCTCCCATCATGGTGCTGGCATGGGTGGTTGCTGAGAGATCCCCAAAGAGCGAGAAGATGCAGGGTTACCAGCTGCAGCCACCCCTCCTCATATTGAGAAGCTAGGCAAGTATTCATTCATTTGGGATTCTGAAATATTGCTAGGAAAGATTAGACGTGAACAGTTAAATACTAGAAGTTATTGTACCAGCTTGGTTAGGAAGCAAGATGGTAAGTCTAGATTAGAAGTTAATTTCTATAACAATGTCTATAAAGGTCCAGATAGTAAATATTTTCAGCTTGGCAAACCATGTGCTCTCTGTCAAAACTGCTAAAATTTGCTTTTATTGCATGCAGTCAGTCATTGACAGTATACAAATACAAAGACAAAGCTTTGTCCAAAACTTTATTTTTGCACACTGAAATTTGAATTTTATAAAATTTTCATGTAACTAAAGGTGATTTTTCTTTTGATTTGTTTCCAACCATTTAAAAATGTGAAAATCATTATTATTAGTTTATTATTATTATTTCCCTGGGAAGTGAGTCAGATTTGACCCATGGACCATAGTTTGCTGACTTTTAAATTAGCTAGACCCGGAAGTATCTTACTTGTGTCTTTTTGCCTAAGGCTTGAGGAAATGAAAATGAGTGGTTCTTTGCTTTTCTCAAGGGATGTACCTACAGACATTTTCACTAGAGGAATATTATGTTTGATACCCAGTAAGAGTCCCTACCCTCTTTTCTTCTTGTGGTCTCTTCTAAGCCTAGCACCTACCCTGGAGAAAGTAAATGCCTAGGCTTAATTTATCTGACAAGATGGTGATTACCCCAGTCAGAAGAAATGCTTTCCAGGAAGCCCAGCAGAAACCAATGGAAAAAAACATGCTTCTCTGGATGGTATGTGAGGAATGTATGTGTATCAGAAACTATACCAGGTGCTCAGACATAATGATAGCCAGTCAGATCCTCAGACTCAAGGACTTATAGTCTGTCTTGGAACATCAGAAAAGATATCTGGAGGAGATGACACCAAGAAAAGATGCAGAATCCAAGGGGAATCTTGTGGCCTTCCTCTGTCTGAAATATATGACCTCCAAGGTCTTTGCAGTAGGAGTCAAGGAGCTATTTCCTCCTGAAAATATTTGATTCTCTTGAATTCTGTGAAATCTCACATTCCTGGTTTTTATTCTACCCTGTTGGCCAGTTATTCTTGGTCTCTTTTGCTGGCTGTCTTTCTCTTCTCAGTCTCAATCTGTAGGGCTTTATACTGGGTCCCCTTCTTTTCCCAGCTGACCTCATTCCCAGCTGACCTCAGCTGCCTCTAAAACTAGACAGCTAGGTAGGTAGATAGAGAGATAGAAAGAATATAGTTTCTGTCCTGGACTCTCGCCACAACTTCAGGTTTGTGTTCCAATCACCTACTCCTTATCTTCACTTAGATGTCAGCAGACATCCCAAACCTCACATGGCCTAAACAGATACTTTTATTTTTTTCTCCAAAACAAAGTGTTTCCAAAATGCCTCTGTTTCAGTCTTTCCTATCTTGGTAAATGACCCCATGATCTTCCTGGATATTCAAGTCAAAAGTTGAGGAATTATTCTTAAATTCTCCTTTCTCCCATCCCCTCATATCAGCAATTGACTCTCCTGAACATGTTCAGAATCTGTTTGTTCCTTCCGTTACCACTATCACTATCCTAGTTTGAGCTACTGTGCCATTACCAAGCACAGCAACAAAATGAACACTAAGAATCCAGCCATTCAACTTAAATGCTATAAAACTGCCAATATAGTCTTAGCCCAGTCATATTTCCCCAGAGTAACCACTGTCCTGGGTTGTGTCCTTACATCGTCCTCATACTTCTCTCATAGCTCTCAGAAATGTATGTGCCTCTAAACAGTGATTAGTTTTGCTTGCTTTTGAGCTTAACCAAAATTATATACTGTGTGTAATCTTTTGCAACTCACTTTTTTTTTCCCATCAGCACTCTCTAACACAATGCCTCCACTGATTTTTTACTACGAGTGGAATATCCCTGCTTCTATTAAGAAGCAAGCTCTTCACTTGTGATCTGGATGTTAAAAGTTTCTTAAAAAAAAAAAAGGAACATATGACCTCCTATGTCAAATACTACCAGTAAATCCAATGAAATAAGGCTACAGAAGTGACCGATAGATTTGGCAAACCAGCATTCATCACCAACCAGGAGCAGCCTCAGTAGAGTACTGGGGACAGACTCTCAGTTGCCTCTGGTAGAGAGTGAAGGTGAAGTGAGCAAATGAAGACAGTGACAGTTCACAACTCTTCATGAAATTCCATGAAGGGAGCAGAGATGTTGGGCAGTAGCTGGAGCAGGACATGGTATTAAGAAATTCCTTATTTTTGTTTTTAGGATCAGGGATGATACAGTGCATTTGTAAGGTGATGATAAGGGCCCAGCAGAGAGGGAGAAATTAATGATACAGGAAGTAGGGATAGAGGTGGGAGAGAAGTTCTTGATAAAGCAAGAGGGTGGGATCCAGAACTCAAGTTAGAGGGTTGGACTTGGATGGAAGTGGGGATGCTTCATGCACAGTAAAATCAGTCGGGATGCTGTGTTAGGGAGTTGATGGGGACACTGAGAAGTTTTCATGGTGGAAAGACTAGGGAATCCCTGTCTGATTGCTTCTTTTTGCTCAGTGAAGTGTGAGGCAAAGGTATCAGTTGAGAGAATCAGCTCATTAGAAGTGAGCAGGCAGAGGGACTGACAGGACCAGCCACTGGGAAGGAACACCCATGTGGGTGAAGAGCCACCAAGAAGAGTGACAGAAAGAAGTAGAGAGAGAGAGAGTGAACCCAGTGTTGAAAGTCTCAAAGAGGAGGAGGGATGGAGGAGTCTGTGTAGGGCTCCCTATGGAGACATAGCAGGTGGTAATGTCTGAAGGCAAGAGCCTACCACTAAAAACTTGTTTAATGAAGCAGGTGTTTGTAAGATCTGTTTGAGTTGAGTTATTCGAAACTAGATTTTAGATAAATGTATCACAGCCCAAGGAGTGGACACCAAGGACCAAGGTGGTGAATAACTTATTTCTGTCTTGCCCTGTTTGGAGCATAGTTTGGACCAAAATATTCTCACATGTTTAATTTAGTCCACTACTTGAAATCTCTCAAGATATGCCTTTTCCATATTTACTTCGTGCTAAATTTTCCATTTCCACTGTCCTTGGAGATCTTTCTACTCTGCTCCACTGCCTGCTAAAACCTCTGTGGAGGGACTGCTTTCCACTTGCAATTCAGTTGCTCTTGTCCATGCCTTGCACCTGCCTTGGCTTCTGCTGTGGATGCTCATCTCAGAAGCAGCACATGGCTTGGTCCTGATTTATTTACCATCCATACTATTTCATAGAATTCTACAATCTTGGGATTTAGAGTTAAAAGAACTTTGGAGGTCATTTAGGTCAGTTAGGCCGATCTTCTGATTAATTTAGGTTGTCTTGTCCTCTTTTTTCATATTGGTGACTCCCTCCTCTTTAACCCACAATTTTTCTCTTTACAAAGGAGGTGTTTTCATCTCAGGAAAACCAACTTCCGTTTCTTGATGTTTGTATTTTTAATAATTTGTACCCATCTTTTTTTTCTTATCACTTGGACATATTGGCCTTTGACTTTCCTTTTCTCACCTGCTTATAATAGTTTTATCTGTCTTTCATTAGCACTGAGGTTAGGACTTTATTGATTTTGTTACAGTTGCATGTCAAAGATTCTCTCTAATATTAGCCCTTACATTGCTTTAAGCAGCAGTGGTTTGACATTCCTGGTCATGAAGTTCTACACTTTGAAACTCATACAGATTCAGCTAATGATTTCTCTCCCATAGAGGCTTACACTGCAGGTGGGCAGCCATTAAAATTTCAGCTTCACTTGCAGTTTGTCCTTTAAAGAGAATATGTTTCTAGAATTTGATTCTTAGCTCTGTAATAATCTGGTCAGTTGTAGAGGCAATGGGAGGCAATGAGGCAATGAGTGTTCCTTTTAAATTTCTTACCAATATGTAATTAAGTGAAGGCATTTATTACCATGAAACATGTCAGCTGGCTTTGACACTGAGCACACTTACATTTCCAAATCCCAATTATATAGTCAGTATCTGGATTATCTATCTCGTTGAGTGTTCAGATCTTTGCTCAACATGGTGAACTGTCATGGAAGAGCAGGGTCTTTGGAGACAGTGAGACCAGGGCTCAGTTGTCAGCTTTGCCGTTACCAGCTCCACAGTTTTTGTAAGTCATTTAACCTTTTTAGGCCTCCTTGTCCTCTGCTGCGAAACAGGTGTCATCATCACATGCACCCTCTGCATTGTGTGAGGATTAAGTGAGATCATGCATATAAAATGTCCAAATACTACCTGGCGCATGGCAGGTGGTTAACAAATGTCAGGTTCCCTCTCCTTCCGTTGCTTCTGTGTTTGTTTGTTTGTTTTTTCCTTTTTGCATCTAGACTAAAAGAAAAGTCCTGAGATTGACTCCTTGGTCACTCTTCATACTCCTGAAGGACTGAGAGCACTTTCAGAATGTCTTCTGTAAACATTTCTTACCTCTAAGTCCTCACTGCAAGGGTAAATACTACCACTGGTGGGAAGAGAAGGAGAAGAAAAGAAGTGAATGTTTAGAAATAAAAAAAAGAGAGATGAGGGTGAGAGAGGCAGGAAGAGGAAGTGACAAAGGAAGAGTTTAGAACACAAAAGAGTTGTGGAGGATGTAAATATTATAAAGAAATCATAAGCCTTTGCAGAGCCAGGCAACTGCGTGGTGCAGAGTGAAGACCACAGGCTACTCGGTAGAACAGAGGTATGTGCAAAGCCTGGCTTGTCCCATGATTAGTTCTGGAACCTTGAACAAGTTCTTTAACTTCTGGGCACTTCAGTTTTCAAATGAAGAAAACACAGCAGCTAAATTTACTGAGTGCTTACCAGCTGTCAGCATTCCTCCATTCATTTATATTCTCCCAGCAGCCCCATCTGATGTATAGATTTAGGATCCTCATTTGACAGAGGAGGAAAGTGGCTTGAGGATGTGGTTAGCATTTGTTCAAGATCACAGAGCTGGGATTTGCCCACAGGTGGTCTGGCCCTGGAACTTACAGTTTAACCACTGCATTGAAGCTGTGTACGTCACAGGGCTGGGAAGGACGTGAGATGTAAGCGTGAATGGCCCACATGGGACCTGCTCATAATATGTGGTGGCACACGTGCGCCCTCCCTTTTCTTCTTTCTCTTCTCCCCTCCCTGGATGCTTGTCTTCTGCTGTCTAGGTGGGATTTGGTTTTCTGGAAATTTCCAGGTTAAATGGGAGTTGCTGCTCCAGAAGGAGCTCCAGCCTAGCCTCACCCCAATATACTCTAAGTGTCACTGTTACACAAGCCACACTGGTGCAACTGAAGCCTGTTTTCAGGGTTTTTTTCTGTTGATTGCACCCCTGGCTGTAAATCAAAACAAATCTGACAGAGGAAGAGAGAAAAACTACTTCACCCACTCACAGGTGCGCATACACACTGTCTTTTTTATTTTGGGGGTTATTTTATTTATTTATTTAATCAACCAAAGTCCATAGCTTACATCAAGGTTCACTCTTAATGTTGTACATTCTATGGGTTTTGACAAATGCATAATGACATATAGCCACCACTGTGCAGTCTTGCACACAGGAGTGGATTATTCATTTTCTTTTCAGGTACATTTGATTGACTTTCTCAAATTAAATTAGGTCATATTTGACCAATGTCTTACGGATTTGACAGTTTTTTCCTCCACTGGTTCAGCGTCTGTTTCAGCATCAAGTAGATAATATTGCCTGATTTGTTCATTTGCTCATTCGTCATTTAACAAAGAGTTATTGGGAGCCTGTTTCATTCTAAGCACTTTGCTAGGCATGAGGAATATTAAGATCAATGAGATAGGCTTTCCTTTCAAATAAATTATGATCTAATGATCATAAAACCAAATAATGATACCACAACATGATAAGCTCAGGAATGGAGATGAACACAAAGTTTATCATTTGTATTTTTACAGGATCAAAAATGTTTCCCTTATGATGTGTGTCTCTTTTTCTGTTAAGAATTCTTTCTGAATTCCAATAGAAGAGAAGTAACCACCCATATTTTCTTTGAGTTTATTTTACTAACACGTTTTAAGAGAACGTTAAGAATCTAATTTCCTCCTCATTATTTTTTACAATTTTTTTCTAAAGTAACCTTGCCTTTTCTGACTTCTGTGGCCAAAGGTATACATGTTTGTTATTTAACAGAAGAAAAAGGGAAAGTTCTGGGGCACAAACAAAATTGAAATTATTCTATAATCCTAGTCTCCCAGAATCATTTATAACCAATTGACTTTTCAAGTTTTTATAGTGTGTAGATATATATGTATATATGAAACTCTGGTTTTTTCCTCTTCAAAACAGAGCCTGCTGGGACGTTAGATGTCTGGTACATGAAACAGCAAATTGACTACAGTAGACAACAGATTTCTCTTTTCTGGAAGGTGAGTTTTCGGTATCCATTTAAAAATCAGGAGAATTATATGTTTGGGTTTTTGTTTTGTTTCATTTTTATGGATATAATTGACATATGAAGAGAATTACATATTGAATGATAGGTTTCAAGGCCAGAAAAAGCTTCTATTTCCACAGGGGCCTTGATGTGAGGCTTCAGAGACTCAGTTGGAGCTCCTCTTCTCAGCCAGATCCTCATAATACTTCGTGTCATTTACTTTTGCCAGACGAAGGAGAGAGCTGAGGCTGAGTTCCTGCCTCCACACAATTACATCTTTCCCTTGGCCACTTCCAGTGTGATCAGGGTCCCCTCTCATCCCCAAGCATGTCGGCCCTCTGACCCGACACCCTACACCATCTCTTCTGACTCTTGTCTCCTCGCTGCCCACCCCTCTGTCCTGCAGTATGCCCAGCAGTGACCACGCTACTCACTCACTTCTGGGGAAATTAAAGACGGGCAAGCTGTGGCTGTGGATATTGAGAAATATATTTTCTGTGAAATGTATTTTCATTGAAAAGAAAGACAGTGGAAAGAAAGCTAGCTGCTCTACCTCAGGAATATTAATAATAGTAGAAAATAATAGAAATAGCAATAGAAAGCGGTCCTTTCTCAGGAATAGTAGTAGAATAATGGTAAACTGAGTAACCTTCCAGAAAACAGTGAGGCCCTAACGTTATCACAGAGTGTAAAAGTTTACAAAGTGCTGACAGCTGTCATCGTCATGTCATCTGATCCTTACAGAAACCCTGACAGGTACGCACCAGTATCCCCCCTTAACACTTGAAAAAGCTGAGTGTCAGAAAGAGGAAGTTCTTCCCAAAGTCCCCCACCTGCTAAGTGCAGAGCTGGGACTGGAACCCCATCCAGAGCTCTTTCTGCAACATTATGGCTCATTTTCGTCCCAAGAAAATACTGTTTGAATTGAGCTGCTGATTGGCATACTCATAAGAAGAGGTTTTATTATTTCCCCAAACCTACGTCCCTTTTACAGTACCTCTTCCAGTTAAGAGTAAATGAACAGTTTTGTAACTTTGAAGCTGATGAGCGTGAAACCAGAAGAGTCAGAGTAATAAATATAAAGTCCTCTGATTTGGGCGGTCAGCATGGTCCGTTTTGTAATTTAATCTTATTCAGTTTTAAGAAATGAGCTCTTTCTCCCTCTTTTCCTTTCTCTCTCATACACAAAATGTCTGGTATAAGACGGGACTACTATAAATAGCTTTGTGAGTCATAATCAAATTCTTCACTTTGAAACTAAAACTGCAGCTTAACATTTATTTTAAAATAAAGCATTTCTAAGAGCAAGATAATTCTTACAGCAAGACATTTAAAGCAGCCTTAACTTGTGAATATTATAGAAAAACCCAGCTCAATTCCTGGCTGCTGGTTTTCGTTTTCACAAGTAAGTGACTAGTTGAAACCAAAATTCCTCCTCCCATTATGATCCCTCCTCCCCACATGTCCTTTACAGTTATCCAAAAAGACACGCTGTTCTGGTCCCATTTCCCTCCTCTCTGCCGCAGGGTTTCTCTCAGTAGAATGAGGGTAATGTTCCTGGTACCTGCAGAACTGACAAGACCATTGTGGGGCCCAGTAAATGAAAAGACTCAAACCCCCAAAAATCACGGGGGCCACCAAGGAAAAATTAAATGGTACTGTGTTGTGATTTTTATCCTAATAGTGAAAGTGACACACCCAGTGCCATGCCTGTGTGTTTCTCACTGTCCCAAAGAGAATTTAGACCAGGCATGAGCACGGTCCTCTGCAGCCAGCATCAGAGCAAAGTCAGAATAACTGTTAGCCACCGGTGATGCTTAGCGAACTTGCATGTGCACATTCCTCTCTGCTGCTCATCTTGATCTTGTCCTTAATCCTCACAGAGCTTAGGTTCTAAAATGAAGTCTTGGAATTCAGAGGGGCTTTAAAGCTCCTATAGTGCACCCTTTCTCTCATGAGTATTGCTCCCACTCCAGCTGGGACAGACAAGTGTCCCTGCTGGGACCTTCTGGGATGGGGAGAGCGCCACTACGTGGGCAGCCCATGCCACAATGGCATGTCTTATTGTTAGAAAATCTTTCCTTTTGTAGAGCCAGACTGTGGGCCCGAGAAGGATGCTTTGGACTGGAACTGATTTGAGTAAGTCAGTTTGACTAAGAAACCAAAATGTGAATACTAGAAGCTTCTACAACCTTGTGCCAGATGGTGGTCCTGACAGGGTACCTTCAAAACCTTCAGTGTTGTCCTTCTTGGGAAAGGGTAGTTGGATCCAGTCTTCCGTCTTACAGGGTCATTACAGGACTTAGTCCTTTTCTGTTGAATCCTGGGCTTCGCATCCAGTGGCTCTAAGTGGGCCACCCACCTGGGAGTGGGAATTACAGCCCGAGTGGAGTTACTGAGATGACAGTCGTGCTCTGGACCCCAGAGCCATCAATCCCACACCTCTAGAGCCAAAGGGGATTTAACCAGCATGCAGTTCAACACTCATCTTACAAACACGGAAACTGAGGTCCAGGGAGGGGAAGTGATTTACCATGAGAAGATTTCTGTAATGTGGTGCTTGCTGCTGGGAGCCTTTCCTGGGCAGGAATCACTGCCCTTCTGTTTGGAACCACCCCTCTCCCATTCGAGCGACTGGGGATTCCTCTTGCCTCCCTCAGGCAGGCTTGAGAGCTGATAGGGCAGTGCTGTGACACAAGGAGCCCACCTCAACCTCAGACGAGAAAGAAAAGCTGCAGCTAGATCAGATGCTTTGTGGTGGGGCCCCAGTCAGACCTCCCTGGAGAACGGAAGCAAAGACATGCGTGCGGTGGGTAATTTTTCTTTTTTTACTCTGATCAATACTGGGAAACCTGATGAGAGGGACACCCCACCACAGCCAAGGGGGATTTCAGGTCTTAGCACCAAAGGAAGCCCCAGGTAAAACCCCGTCAGCCTGTGAACACAGAGAGAGCCTGTTTCTCTGGCAGCGGGGGAAATATGAGATGACCTTTCATTTTTGTAGGATGTTTACACTAGAGGGGAACCACTCGTGCTGAATGGGCACAGCCCCTGCGCCTGGGGAGGTGAGGCTGTGTGAGTGTGGGCGTGTGGAGTGGTGTGCGTGCGTGCGTGCGTGTGTGTGTGTGTGAGGGCAAAGGGTGTGTGTGAATATGTGAGGGATATGAGTGGGTGTGAGTGTGAGGGCGTGTAGGTTGTGTATGTATGTGAATGTCTTAGTTCAGGCTTGATAATAAAGTACCTTAGACTGGGTGGCTTCTAAATAACAGAGATCAATTTCTCACAGTTCTGAAGGCCGGCCGTCTAAGATCAGGGCACCAGCGTGGTCGGGCGAGAACCCTCTTCTGGGTCTCAGACTTCTCCTTGTGTCCTCACATGGTCATGTGACGAGGGGCAAGGCGGCGCTCTGGGTCTCTTAGAGGGCACTAACCCCATCCATGGGGGCTCCACCCTCATGACCTGATCAGCCCCTAGGGCCCCCGCCTCCTGACACCATCACATTGGGTGTTGGAGTCCAGTGTGTGAATCGCCCTGGTGGTGAGTGTGAATGTGTGAGAGTGTGGAAGCGTGTTGGGGGGGTGTGAATGTGTATGTATAAATGTGCATGTGCTGAGGGTGAAGAAGACCTTTGTTGTCTGGTTCTCACATAGTTACTCATTTTCCCACACCTTGGTCCTCCTAAAAGCTCCATTTCCTCAAAAATACCCTATACTATTTTTTTTTCTTTTGCCATAGCTGCTTTAAACAGAAAAAAATACTTGCTATGTTGAAGCAAAAAAGTAGAACCTAATCTATAAATAAAGCAAAAACAACTGGCTGCTGTTAAAACAGTAAATGCAGTAACAGAGAGAAAACTTTGCCTTGTCATCAGCAGCCCCAGGGCTGTGTTAGAGCCCTTCACGGGGGGAGTTACCACTTCTTTCTGTCAGTTTCCGTCTATCATCTCCTTCTCTGCTGTTTTGTATTGTTTCCTTTGCCATGATCAAGCATTTCAACTTGTGATTCCAATGCACTTTTTCCTTCAGTTAATACAGCTCTGTCCTTTAAGAAGAAAATCACCTTGAATATATATGTAGATGACGTATGAAAAGATACGACAACGGGTTAAAAGACATTAACCTTTCCAGTTTCCTCTGTCAATTTCTTTAGAGTCCTCTCAGTGTCTTGATCATAGCAAATCACAAACTTTCTGAAATGGTGGTGAGGCCAGGGGTGTGGGAGAGAAATATCTGTGTGCAGACAAAGCTGAATTCACTCCCTTCATTCACTCATTCATTCATTCAATTATTCATTCAAACAAACACATGAAAGCCCCTCTTTAGACCTGGACACCGTGCCGCATGCTGGGAATGTGGAAGTGAGCAAGCCAAATCCAGACTCCACGTCCTTGAGATCACAGTCCAGCAGATGGACAGAGATAGCAGTGAGGGTGGTAGGGGCACTCAGATGTTCAGGAGGAGTTCAAGGTTCAGTGGAGGGGGATGATGGCTAGGCTTGCCCAAGAGAGCTGGGAAAAAGGTAAGGAATCAGAGAAGACCTTTCAGAAGGTAATACTGGAGCTGGCTCCAGAAGAACAAGGTAGTCAGGACAAGGGTGGGAGAACATTTGGCAGGAGACCCCCTGGGGACATGGCTTTGACATGTGAAGGATCACATAGTGAAGCTCTATCCCACAGAAATATAAAGCAAGCACATATGCAAGCCATGTGCATAATTTAAAACTCGTAGCCACATCTTAGAAGGTAAAAAGAAACAGGTGAAATTAACTTTAGTGGTAGATTTTACTTGACACAAATATATCTGTAATGTTATCATTTCAAATGGAATCAATTGAAAAATTACTAATGCATTATTTTACATTCTTTTTTTCCTACTATGTCTTAGACAACTGGTGTGTCTACTAAGTGCCAGTGTGGTGCAGGGGCTAAGAGCTCACCCTCCAGAGCACAGCCCATCTTGGGTCAGAAGAGCCCCATGTCGAGGGCTGCATGGCTCACCCCAATAGTGGACAACAAGGCTCCCCAGCCTTGACAAGCAAGACAGAAGAGAGTGAGGGACACTCCTGGTTCCAAAAGTGGGGAAAAGATTGGGTGTTTTATATTCACTTGTTAAATGAAGTAATTCATTTTGATAAACAGCTCCCCTCCAACCATGGAAGGAAGGTGAGAAGAAAGAGCAAATAGCCAGCCCTGTACACCAGTTTACAACCTCGGAAGGACTGTTGTGACCAGAAGCAACTTATGCAGGACATTCACCTGGTCTCTCTGTCCCTTTATTTGTCTTTGTTGAATGAGGAATATTCCAGCCTGTATCATGCTGCTCCAAAGGGATGAATTCTTGGCCGCCTCATTTCAAAGAGATTCAGTAAAAGTAGGAAGTATTATTTGTATCCTGGTTTATATTGATGTGGAACAGAAGTCTATTGTAAATCCCCAGGGAAGATTGGCTGCCAGGAGCGTAAGGCCCTGATTTAATTATAGGAGGTATCCAACCTCAGAATCAATATTTAAATACAGCAGCAGCAGATAGGAAGATTTCATTAGTTTTGTTGCAATATTCAGCTCTTCTCTTCATCCCATTCCCAGCCCTTGTCCCGTCACAGCCTGGCACAGCATTTCTGGAGATATTTTTTGACAGAACAGGTTGCTGTCCCTTGCTTACTGGTCACACATACTATACCAGCTGCAGGACAGGGAATTTGGGTTGGATAGCAGAGAGTGGTCAGTGACGAAGATAAGTAAGTAGCAGAGAATTAACAGAAGGTAGAAATCAGAGATGGAAGGAGAGTTAAAATTTTTCTCTTTAGAAGTTTCCATTATTTTGCTGTTTTTCTAGCTGCAAAACTAGATAGAAATTATTTTGAAATGTGTCAGATTTTGTCCTATCTTGGATTACATTCACCACGTTATTTTTGATGCTTGAAAGCCTTTTCAGGCAGCAGAATTCTTATAGTATCCTTATAATAGGTTTATAAGGGAGCTGTTCACTCTGCTTCTCGGACAAACCTAAGTCAGAAAGGCTACGTTCACTAAGTTTAGATTATTTTCCACAGGACAAAGTAGAAAGAAAACCTAAGGCAGTAGGACAGCTTTTCTCTTTTGGTGTATTCTTACCAGTAGGAGAGGGTGACAAGGACGGTAGGACCACTGGCTTGAAACTCACTCTCAGCACTGCCCCAAAAGGGGCAAGAAAGATCCTGTCTTTGAGATTCTCCCAGGGCCCCAGACTCTGGATATTGCCTCCTCTCTCACATCCACTAGGGGGCGCACTAAAATCTCACATTACTTTTCTGTGGGTCCTTCTTAGTTGGTTTCTTAACCTCTTGAAGCTTCAGCATCCTCATCAGAATGGGGAGTTATAAGGAATAAATGTGACGACAGATTTACAATAGACAAAATGAAAGGTTCCCCCTTCTCACTCACCCATATAAATACTAGAGTAAAAATAAGTTTATCTGGGAAGACTCAGCTGGCTCCTCAGGCCGTGGTTCTGCTGGGTTCACAGCTTGTCTCCTTGTGACTCACGGCTTGTTGCCTCTGGAAAAAAAGAATTCTGGGTCTCCACCCTCCCCAGATTGCTGAGCTCATGTCCACTGTTGATGTTCCACATCAGAATGCACCACAGCCTCACAATTAACAGAGGCTGCTTTGCAACTCTGGGCCAGAAGGGTGACCGGAGATCCAACTATGCAACATGGCGCCCGTACTCACCAGTTCATTGTCTCAGGCTTGCCAATAGAAGGAGCAGCGAGTCAGAATGGAGGGATCTTGAGTCCAAAAGGGAGGAGCCCTGGATTCTACTCTCAGCTCCTCCGTCTATCCCTTAAGTGGCCTTAAGCAAGTTGCCCTGTGTCCCTGGTGCTTACTTTCCCTTATTTAAGTGATAAAATGAAACATTGAATTAATTGTTGGTCTGTAGAATCCTTTCCAGTTCTGTTGTTCTGTGATGATACTCTATTCTGTCAGGGCCAGGTGCAATCCAGGGGTGATGGATTGTATCTATTATTTGCAAACTTGATGTTACTATTTTTTTAACCAACCTAATCACACTGTTTTCAGTTGCTTCAGGAGACCGAGTGCCCTGCTAGCTAAATACTTGTTTTCAGTTGGCTCACTGAACTCACTGAATCTTTTGTTCTGTGGACCTTGTTGGGTAAATTAGGCCCATTTTCCAATTTGGTTAATCAGACCAATTACCTGAGAGATGTTGACCTTTATTCCCAAATTTGAGCTTGACATTGTATACAAGCATAACTCAAGGGATACCATATTTGTCTAACTACCTTGGCCCCACCCTTACTTTCTCACTGATATTTGCAACTCAAAAATATGAGATATGGAAAGAAAATGCAGAATCCGGGTCCAGGCCCTCTGCTGCCCTCTGGGAACCTTCACTCATCTTTCCGACCCACACCTCTGTTTTCTCGATCACTGGGATCAGCTAGATTTCCCAAGCAGTCACTAGGCAGGTCTGTTGGATCTAAGAGGGCTTGACATTTCCCCCTTCCTTTCAGTACTTTACGATGGGAGCAGGTGAGATTGCTGAGGTGTCTGTAAAGGACAATGAGAGGGAGGTAATACAGGCTGATTTGCAGGGTGTTTTTTCCACTTAGGACTCTGTATCCTTTTAGTTGCCCTTTGGGAGCCTGGCAAGTATGGGGAGCTTTGTGAGCTTGGGGTGGGGGTGCATGGGGTGTGGTGAGAGTCCTCCCTCTGGAGCTGCAGAGGAGACAGGTAGGGAAGGACAGAGTGAGAGAGAGCTAAGGGAATGGTCTTCCCTAGCCAGCTCTCGCTGTAATTTATCCTGTTTTTTCTCCTATGACAAAGGGCATGTTTATTAATAACAGTTGAGAACATCATAATGTCAAAAGCACTCACCTATTTTAATCCACACAAGAGGCCTGTGAGATCAGCTGTGATGGATATTTGCAATGCTAACTCTCTTGGTTCTTGCCAGGACACAAGGTGTCTTCTAGGGAAAAGCTGCACGTGCACCCAGAAGTGCCCCCAGTGACATGGCACTCACCCAGTGCACGGACCATGGTTTATGATCCAGTCTCGGGCCTTGTGGATCCAGAAGGGCACCTAGGACAGGACTTGCATTAACCAAGCTCCTCAGACTGAAGTATAAAAAGCTGGATATTCGTGCATTAATTTACAGTGAGAAATGCAGCTGTTGGGCCAACCAGAAGGCTTGAGTCAGCAGAAAGGAACATCCTCTCCCACCATGCTGATTATTTCAGGAGCCAAATTATAATCAGAAGGCCGACTTTTTCACATAAAGTGAAAGATACAAATTTTAAGTGAGCCAGATGTTCATGTTAGCCCAGCCTCTCCTGACAGATACATGACGTAGGAAACCGAATTATTAGAAGATGGCTTAGGGAGCAGGGAACCAGAGAAGGGGGCACTGGTCAATCCTAAGGTGCGTCTTTCAGCAGCTTGAGGTTACCCCGCACCCCATGGAAGGAAAAGCCTCGCCAAGAAAACTGATCCTTAAGTCTGGTGTGCGACGCCTCCCTCTCCCTGCACTGGGCCTGGACGGGCACTGCCAGCACAGGCCTTGGCAGCACCCCACTTCCAGTGCTTCTGTTTCCCGTGGTCCTTCTCCAGACAGGGTTACAATACAAATAATTTGTTTTCTGCTTACTTGTGGAGATTGTTGGCAGACGATCCCAACTGGAATTCTTGCAGTTCCAAAACTCAGTTACACATATATAAACAGCATCTTAGTTTCCTAGCACAGATGGTGAATCCAGTTCACACAGTGTGGAGTTTTACTAGTTTAACTCTTGAAAATGTTGTTTTTTATTTCAGGAGCAGCATTGTACTTTCCATATAAAAACGCATACATGTGTGAGTTTCACAAATTTAGAAGTGGAGACTCAGAGGTGCTAAGTGCCTTGCCCAGAGTCACACAGCTGTTGGTTGGTAGAGTTGGAACTCAAATCCAGATCTTGTTCAGATCTCTCACTTGTTCCATTGGATGTAATTGAGTTTTCTACTATTAGGAAGTTTCAGTCTGAAGCAAGAAAGGGAAATCAGTGTATTTTTAAGAATTAGCTTTAAAAAAATGCTAACTGATACTTTTTTCTAAATGGCAGGGATGGGTGGAGGCATAAAAGTGTGCAGAGGAGGAGATGAGAAGATGTAAATAAAAAGGTCACTCAGATGTAGCCACCTGCTGCAGGGGGTCCTGAGACCCTGGCACAGAGCATCCAGTGACCTTGTCTGAGACTACATAGTAAGTGGATGTGTTTTGTTGCAGAATCTGAGTCTATCAGCGGCAAGAGGAAAAATTCTCCACTATCAAGTGACCCTGCAGGAGGTGGCAGAGGGAAAAGTCACACTACAGAACATCACAAGACACACGTCCTGGACTTGGGTCATTCCCAGAACTGGGAACTGGACTGTGGCTGTGTCTGCAGCCAACTCAAAAGGCAGTTCCCTGCCCAGTCGTATTAACATAACGGACCTATGTGGGGCAGGTAAGTACCAAATTTTCTTTCATGTTGCCTGTGGGAAACTGTGTCTTATTCATCTCTTATCTCCCACAGGCCCAGCCCAGGGCCTGGCATGAATAGCACAGGAGTTTAAACTTTGGAGTCAACAGCCTCCAGAGGCTGTGTGAAATTTCCACTTGGCCAGTGAGTGGCCTTGGACAAGTTAACCCCTCAGAGCTTCAGGTTCCCCCTCTCTAGTGGGGATTATCTTACCTGAATTGCAGGTCATTGGAGACTAAATACAGAGACTAACATATAGCACATGCTTTGTAAATATCAGTTAAGGAAATATTAGTTACATTAAACTGAACACTAATATCTGGCTAATGTTTCCAGAGGCAGGAATAGTATGTGTTGTCAAGTTCTAGAAAAAATGTACCTACAGTTGAAACATATTTTAAAAGCAATGCTATTAAAATGAAATTCTGGCTGTAATGGAACTATAGTAAAATTTTGCTATACTACAGCTCTTTATTACACAAATTTAGATGTGTATCTAATTATCTGCACTGAAAACCTCCCAGCTAGCTATACACATTTCATAGTTGCATCCTCTGAAAACTAACTTGTCACAATGAAAGCCCCATAATTAGTCAAGAAAATAGATATTAAACTTATTTCTCAACATCTGTATTATACAAGTATTTCACATCTAGATCATTGGCCTAATTTTTTCCAAAAATGCCTGATAGAATAAAACTCTATAATTAGATTCCTCCTTAAAATTTAGTGTAAATAGTTTTATCTACATGCGGGTCTAGCAATTATCATTTGAAGAAGCTTCTACCAAAAATAGTTATCTTATCAATACTGTTAAATCTTGGTTATATATCTTTTCAGTCATATGTCTGTAGATATAGATTTAATATAGTAGATAAAAATACAAGTAAATATTGATATATCCTTGGGTTGGTATATGAGTTAGGAATTGCCCTTAGGAGGAAGGGTTGCTTTTACCAGAGGCCTGACTACGGTGACTTATTTATTCTCTTGTATGAAAGCCGTTTGGAGGTAGAGAGCCCAGGGCTGGTGTGACAGCTTCATAACAGCATGAGGCCTCCAGGCTCCTCCTTCTGTACCCACGGCCAAGTTGGCTTCCATCCATAAGATGGAAATGGTCCAGGATGGCTCTGGGGCTCTAGCTGTTTCCTTCTAGGCAGCAGAAAAGAAGAAAGGAGAAGCCTCACCCCTCACTCATGAGGGGCTTCACCCCTGGTCACATGACAACACTTGCAGTCATTGACTCTAACTGGTCACCTGGTCACATCCAGCTGCAGAGGAGGCTCAGAAGTACATTGTTCCCTTGCTAAAGAAGATGGGGAGAGGGTATCTGGTTGGTAGCTAGTGATCTCTGCCTCATGTGGAGAAAGCATCTAAGGCAGAGACCTGCAGGGAAAGGTGGATTAACTATGGGGAATAGAAGCTTAAACTTTATGCATAGTAAAGCAAAAATTTTTAAAACACCATAAATGGCTTTAAAATGCAATTAGCAATTTAGGAAAAGTGTATGTACATTTTGACAAAAAGAGGATTAATTATCTGTATCTAACTTATTCAAATAAATAAGAGATTGTGGGATATGAACAGGCAGCTGAAAAAATAAATATCAAAGGAGCAATAAAAATATGAAAACATGTTCAGCTAGCAATCAATGATATACAAATTTTGAAAAAAAAATGAGAAATCAAATCAGACCAAGAAAGTGTAAGTAGAATTAGCATAACTCATAACTGGTGAGAGGGTGGGGGAAAGACACTCTTGTAGACTGCTGGTGGGTGTTTAAATTGGTACAACTTCCTGAAGAGAAACTTGGCAATTTGTAACACTGTCAATCTTTAAATATGAACATATCTTTTGACCAAGAAATTTTGCTATTGGAAATGTATCCTCAGCAAATAAGGCACGTGCTTAAACATGTGAGCGCAAAGAGGTTTGTTGAAATGTTTCTGAAATAATGAAACACCACCAACAGCCTAAATATGTGATAATTGAGGATGGATCGGTTAAATACATTGTGACCCTCACTCACCTGAATCCCTTCCCAGCATGAGAGTAATGTTGTAGATCTGTTTTTATTGACATTGGAAAGATACACATAATCAAGTGAAAAAGCAGGCTTCGAAAGTATACATGGGACAATGTCATTTAAAATATATATTTACACAAATGCACGTTTTAGCATAGTAAAACAAACCAGGAGAATGTGCAGGGAAGTATTAACAGAGGTCATCTCTGCATTATGGTATTACAGGTGATTTTTATATTTAAAATTTTTTCTTCAATGGTTAAGTAAAACATATGTAACTTTTAAAGGAAATTCTGTTGGGGTGGGGGGCATTGCAATCTTACTGCTGTTTAGTATCCTGCTCTTGTTAAGATATAGTATGTCAAAATACCTTACTTTGTTCAATACTTTGAACTTTCTGGGCTCATTTCAGTTCCTTTATTTAGAGTTGGAAACAACTCCTCAAAAGGACACACTCATTATTTTAGTGTTGGCCTCTATTCATTCCACAATAATTTATTGAGATTACTATATAGGATCACTGGAGTCCAGCAATAGGTAAAAAACACAGTCAGGGTCCCACAGTTACATTTTGTCCAGTGAGGAGGCAGACACAGACAGGTAAACTGCAGTGCAGTGTAAGTGTGAGATTAGAGATGCGCACAGGACACTCCCGGAGCAGACTCTCCATGGGCTTGGAGAGGAGGCAACATGTGAACAGAGTAGAGAGACAAGTTGGTGTCAGCCAGGTGAAGGAGTGCAGGTGTGCAGGTGTGCTTGTTTTTATGTGAGATCTGAGCAGGCGTATACTTTGAAAAGAACTGGGGTAGGAAAGAGTTGAAGATAAAAGGGGAAAGAGGGTGAACATCAACGGAATGGAGTCCCTGAGGAGCTGGGAGATGATGGGGTCCAGCAGCAAAAAGGTGTAAGAGGAACACTTCCTCCTCTCGGAACGGAGAGGTGTTGAATGAGGGTGAGGCTTAGTAAGGATGAACATGGAGGGTTGGTAAAGCAGGACGTTGAAACAGTTCTCTAGGACTGAGCTGTTGCCGAGAGGGTCCTGGAAAACCTGGGACCTCAAGAGCCTATTGCCTCTCCTGAGGCCATACCTCAACTATCCAGTAGGGGTCGTTGTGCATCCCAGGGTGACCTGGGGGACAGATTGGCAAATCAATCACATGGTGCCATCCCGGAGCCCCCTTGTCTCACACCAGTTCTGCATCTTCTGTGGAAATAACACCGTGTTATTTGTCTCTGTCTCTTTCAATATATGTTCACACTACTCACGTAAATGACTTTCCTTCCAGAAAGGGAAAAATAATACCCCAGCGGGTGGAATTATGTTGATTTTGAGAAAGCAGGGACAATTTTGTTATAAAAGGCATATGCCATAGTGCTGCATATTAAGAAGCGCAGGAATGATTTTGTTGGTTTATGATGAAAGTTGAAGGTGTTCTAAACCCACCAGTCAACAAGTAAAGCATATTTAATATTTCAGACCAGTCCCTGTGCTCAAGAATTCTTGAAAATACGGCCAGAATCAGAAGCCAGTGCAGCCGTAGACAGAGGCCCACACAGATGTCAGAGACTGAGGCGCCAGGTGGTGAAGTAACTTAGCCAAGATCACACATCCAATTAGTGGCAGAGCTGGACTGAAAAACCAGGCCACCTGTCTCTTAGGTGGGCACTTTTTCCAAATGCCTCATGAACTGCATAACTCTATGAAAATGAAGATGGGGAGTTGAATGATGGAGGCTAAAGGAATAATTCTGAGAGGTGTCAGAGAGGAGAGTTGTTAGCAGAGTTCTAAAGGAGAGGGCATGCCTTGGCAGACATCATGGGGAGGAAATCTAGGCTGGTTCCTGGCAAGTGTGGTAACTCAGAGGCTGAGCAATGCCAGGCTGGTTTGCTTAGTTAATTCCAGAGAGAGCACTGATTAGAAAGGTTCCTTGGCTGCGTGAGCCCCTCACCTGGCAAAGGGTCTTGCAAACTCTTGGTGCTCAGTACATATTAACTGAATGAATCCTTTACTGTCTCAAAACAAACAAACAAACGAAGCAAAAACAATCTTGTGGCATAGCCAGAAAATAAGATACTAAGGCAAATGAAGGTAAAGAACCACAGCTGGGGAATCCCAGTTCCTGGCAAGATAGGTTCCAGGCTCTCACCACCAAACTCACTCCGACAATGCCACAGGAGAGGTAGGATGGGATGGCTGAGCACCTGTGAAAGGGAAATAGTGATGAGGGGGAAGGCTGGGGTAGCACTTGCTGATCCCACTTCTTTTTCTTGCCTGTGTTCCCTGAGATATCCATCGCCCGGGCATTTTTACTGTGGGACAGGAAAGTCTGGAGGGCAGGGCAGAGTAGCTTCACAGAAGCCCTGGAACCTAACAGAGAGTGCCTGAGATTTTCTCCTGCCATTTACCCCAAGGCCCGGCAATTACAGAAGAGAATAAAAGGCCCACTCCCCCATGAAAAGCAGTCCCGGCACAGAGGGATGGGACGGTTCTGGAGCTACCAGGTACACGACGGGGCACAGGCAGAGCTCAGGCTGCATCATCGCGGGCGTCTGGCCTTCCATCCTGAAAAGCTCCTCCTCCTCACCCACACTGACCTGGAGGAGTATGAATTACAGCTAAGCTTTCCCTCCCCCCGCCACCACCACACACACAGAAAATAAAGACCGAGGCTGCCGATCAATCCAAGAAAATGAAGTATGATCCCAGAAGAGAAAATTCGGAGAAATCTGAGGGGCACAAGTTCCGGGAAAGAAAGACATCAAATGGGACCACCAGTACTGGAGGAAGTATAATCAACACAACAGAAAGAGCAAGAGTTTAGAAGCATAATAGGTATCCTCAGAAAGATAAGAGAGGAAGCTGGAAACATGAATCAGAAATAGGTGGTTGTGGAAAAGCCCCAAATCAAGAGATTCAGTATGGAAAGTTCAGTTGTTGAAATAAAGAGCTCAGCCAGTGGGTTGGATAGCAGAAAGGACTTATCTGAAGATTGAAGGAGAGAGTGGAAGATTGGGTGAGAAACTCTTCTAAAAAGCATCCAAAGAGGAAAAGAATTTTAAAAATGAGAAAACTTAAAACACTGAAAGAATAGAAACAGAAGTAATGACAGTCACCTAAAAAAAAGAAATTCCCACTAAGAGAAAAAAGTAAATGAAAGGGAAAAAAAAAACACTTAAAATATTTTTTAGAATGTACTGCTCTGGTACAGGATGTCGATAGTGGGGAAGCAATGTGTGTCTGGGGTCAGGGGAATATGAATGATCTCTGTACCTTCCACTCAGTTTTACTGTGAAATTAAAACTGCTTAAAAAAATAAAGTCTATTTTAGAAAGAAAGAAGAAAAGGAGTGCCAAATAATCAAGCAGTTTGATCCCAAGAATACAAAAATTGATCAGTATCAGAAAAATGTAATTTATTACATTAATACCGAAAGAGAGGAAAAGGAATATGTTCTTAACAGATGTAGAAAAGTATTTAGTAAAGCAAAGTTTTTAGTAAACAAGTAGTATTTTATAAAAAATAAAAGCTATTTGAAAACTATGAATAAAAGAACTTTTTTGCTTTTTTAAGACTTTCTACCCAAAATATGCAGCAAGCATCACCTTAATAAAGTTACACAGGAAAATTCTCTTGAAAATTAGCAACACGATAAAAAGAAAATAAGAGATATAATTTAAAGATTGAAAGGAGGAGATATTTTAAGTGTGTAGCTAAAAAGATTATTGCATGGAAAATTTAACAAGGGCAATAGACAAATTATTAGAACTAATTAGAGAGGTTTACCAGAATAAGAATAACACACAAAAATTAATAGTAGAAAAAGCAGTAGAAAATAAAATGCCATTTAAATAGCAAACTAAAAGTATAAAGTGGCGAGGAATTAACCTAACAGAATGCATGAAAACTTTAATAGGAATTTTTTAAAATTCCATTAAAATACATAAAAGGAGACCCAAATAATTTTAATGAAGCAGCATATTTACTAATGGGGCAATTTAACATTGTAATAGTATCAGTTTTCCCTGAATTTAGCTATAAATTTAATATAATTCCAATACAAATAACACTGAAATTTTTGAAGACTCTGATAATCTGATTCTAAAAGCTCTATGGAAGAATAAAATTTCATGAATACCCAAGATTACTTTGAAAAAGAAGAGCAAAATAAGAAAGGATGTTACCAACCAAATAGGTGTCACAGAGCTAGTGATGTGAACAGTGTGTGCTGGTGAAGAGGACCGGACGTGGACCCATGAATGTGTGGAACTTGGTGTGTGGCAGAGATGGTAACACATTTGGAAAAACTGACTTACCATGTGGAAAAAATAATAAGTTTGTTCCCGTTTAAAAAGAAAAAAAACCCTTCAGCTAGATTTGGATTAAAAACCTAAAGGTGAAAGGTAAAACCAAAAGTCAACAGGAGAAAATGTGGTTGTGTATCTCTGTGACCCCAGAATGGAAGGATTTCATAAACAAGACTCAAAATACACAAACCATGGGTGAATTTACCTACATCAAAGTAACTATTTATGTGCAACAAATACATCGGAGATTAACAAATAAATTAGAGAGTTGAAAGACTGGAGTAAGATATTTTTAGTGTTGAAAACTGACAATTAATATCTAGAATATAAAAGCTATTTCTTCAAATCAGGAAGAGGACAGGAAACACAACAGAAAAAATGAGCGAAGTATAAGAAGGGGAAAGTCAGACAGCTAGTAACATGTGAAGAGAGGCTCAGCCTCATAAGAAACCAGAAAACGAAAATTGAACCACAATTAAATACCAATACCACCTTACACGTACCAGACTGGCAAAATCAGAAAGTCAGGAAATGCCAAATGTTGATGGGGAAATGAGAACCCTCATGCTTTTCTTGTTGGAAATGTCAACTGATTGGCTATTTTAGGGATCGGTCTGGCCATATTTAGTGAAATATGTGAATTTACTCCATAATTGAGCAGTTCTGTGCATATTTATATATATAGAGAGAGGGCGATACTCTTGCACAAGGATGTGCAAGATAATGTTCATTGCATCCTTGTTTGTGTTAGCAAAAAGTTGGAAGGAACCTACTGCTCGTCACTTGGTGACTGGACAGAGAAAAGGGTTGAGGCAGCCGACAGAAGGAATAAGCTAGATTTACATATGGCGGCAGGATGGATATATCCCAGAAACTTAATGTTGAGTGAAAAAACGTCAGAGCATTACATTTACCCCAACACGTTTTATGAAAATACAACACATAAGCACAAAGCAGCATAATTTTCAAGGACACATATATGTCTAAATAAACATATGGGAGGTAGATTAGAAGGATGCATATTATATTCACTAGAGCTGGTGCCTTTGGGAACACAGAAATGGAAAGTGAAGTGGAAGGTGAAGGGGAAAATAATCCCACACGTAACACTGCACAGGGTCCTGGCCCTGATGCCAGGCCTCGGAGAAGTAGGATGAGCACATCTGTGAACCCGAAGTCCTTAAAAAGAAATTGGTTCTTGCTGCAGCTTTGCTGAGATGAGTTGTTTTGTATGTGTTTATCCTCTGTGCTTTTGTCTTTGCCCCTCCCTCTCTTCCCCACCAAGGGTCGCTGGCTCCGCGCCAGGTCTCTGCAGACTCGGGGGGTGTGGACAGCCTCGTGGTGACGTGGGCACCTCCAGGGAAAGCTGCCTGTGCCGTGGGGGAGTACGTGGTGGAGTGGAGGGAGCTCCACCCGGGGGGCAGCACGCAGCCCCCTGTGAGCTGGCTGCGGAGAGCCCCCTACAACCTGTCCGCTGTGATTTCAGGTACTTAATTATTCACCTTCCTTCTAGAGAGTTGCTAAGTTCACATTTTGCAAGGAAATTGCAGGCAGGAACCCAGAGCCATGCCTTCAGCTACAGGCGGCTGCAGGAGAAGAGGGACAGTGGTGACCTAGAGTCCATCAGGATGCACCACTGCAGCCATGGAAGACCCACTGATTGACTGCAAACCCTGGTGTTTATGCAAAGCCCGCATGCCTAGTACCGCACATGTACTATGCAAGATGAATGCGTCATTGAACCAAACAAGCATGGCTGAGAGCTAAGTAGTAGCCAGTCAGTGCAATGGACCCTTCCATCTGGGAATTCATCTAATTCTGAGTACAATCATGTGTAGCCAGAGTTATTATACCCGTTGTACAGATGAGGAAACCAGGAAATGTTTCATTCCCAATTCTGCTAGTTATAATTTGTGTGATAATAAATCCACAATTATCTATGCAATAATTGGTTCTCTAGTCCTCAAACTCTGAATCTGTCAGTGGTTAAAATCAAGTGCTTACAATAGAAAGCGTCTGAAAATGCATTTAAATGATTGGACAGAACTTTAATCAGTATCTTTTTTTTTACACTGTCATTTTATGCTTAGAGCAAATCCTAAATTTCTGTATCATATTGTATGAATTTAAAGAGAAATCCCGCAAATAATCAACCAGTCAATCCTGAGTATAAGCAGCACTGGACAACAGGAAAATGCAAGATGGCCATTTTTAATCGTTTTTACAAATGACTGTAAAAGACTGTACATCTTCCTCCCATCGGTCTGATGCTTGCCCTTTAGCTATCATTGCAGCAACCCCCAAACAGGCTCGCTGTTCCTGACCATTGCAAAGAATCCTTAACTTCTTCTCTCAGAGGAGAGACTGCGTCTTAGTCACACTGCAGGTAGTTGACACTTGCTGAACAAGCATTAAAGGGCAAGGTCTCAAGTTCTCAGTTCACAAACTCTGAAGTCCTACTCTGTCTGTTAGCCACAGTCAGCTTCTAACGTTGTTTTGTATTTGAAATACTCAGAGGCCTCCATGACTTACCAGGGAATATGTTAGTAACAACCAAAAACACTATTAGTAGAAATTCCTTCTTCTTTTAATTTTCCCAAAGAGAAATGGTATTCCTGGCATATTAAAGTTAGGTTAGTTAAGGAATCATCTGCTTGGAAATCTTGTTCCAGGATGAATTTTGATGAACAAGGCACGTGTGTGTACATTCTGACATGTTCAGAAGCCGGAACTACAGTATTTTGCTCCTTCTGTTTTTCTCCTGCTTATTGTTGTCCTGTAATAATTCAAAATCATCCTTAAGAAAATTAATATTAATCTAGGTCAGCAGTAGCACCCCAAATTAAAATGTTGATAAATGTGTCTTCTGCATGGCAATGAGTGTGTTGAGGTGTTAAAAATGTCAACGTGATTTTTAAAGTGTAAGCTCAGCACCGTGATTAAAAGTTCTGCAGCCAGATTATCTGGATTTGAGTTCTGGCTCTGTCACTTATTAGATTGTATGCCCTAGGGCAAATTACTTAACTTCTTTGTGCCTTAGTTTCCTTATCTGTAAAATGGGGGTAATAATATTACCTACCTCACTGGGTTATTATGAGGACTAACTCAGAATCATTTTGAATGATGCCTAACACATCTGAAGTGCTTAATAATTTAGCTTATTATTATTATATGTGATGCAGCTAGGACTGTAATAGGTTTTCAAACTCTAAATCCTATACAGTTTTCATTCTATCATAACAACCATTACACCTGTCCAAGGGGATACACACGCCCTGCTTAGGGAGACAAGACTTTCACAAATGAAATAAACAGAGCACACTCTTGATAATACATGAGCCGTTCCTTAACTGTGGGCCTCTTTTCGAGTCTAGCTGCTCAGACTTCTAGTGGGTTGTATTCAGTTTTGATCACTGTACTTTAAGAGAATGCTGCCTGGATGACCCAGTGAGCATCAGAGGAAGGGGAGCAAGCCATCAGGGGTCTGGAACTTTTAATGTGGAAACCATTTAGCCTGCAGAAGAGAATTCTAGATGGGGGTGGAGCAGTGTGACGGCGGTTTGACATGTACTACAGTTTGACATGTACATAAGAAAGAGGATGTGTCCTTTGTTGGTCTGGAGCCCAAAACTAACGTCCCCTGCAGAGAAATGAGAAGAAGACAGGTGTCAGTTCAGTTCTGAGAAAGAGCTCCCCTTACACATGATGGTCTCTAATAGGACAACTGATTGCCCCCAAGGTGGTGTGTTCCCTGTCCCTAGAGTGGAAACCACTAGAGTTGTTGCAGTGGGAACAGTTTTCCTTAAGGGCCATTATACCCATCAAGTCAGATGAAACAACAAATAGAAAAGGCATTTACTGAACTCCAAACTGCTATATAGTTGTAAACTCCTATTATAAACTGTATTAGGATTTACCTCTTTGGGATAGTTTGAACCATATGGTTACTACAGTTCTTTCCTTTTAGATATTCTGTAATTCTACACAAAATGCATAAAAGAGATGACAAGACAGAATGTTTTCCATACCTAGGAAACTAAGATGTTTTTAAGCACTTTAGACATACTCATCTGACTAAAATGAATAATACTGGGTAAAATAATTATATTAATTCAAGTTGTTCTCCTACTTGAAAACACTTAACCATTAGTTTGTACTGATGTTACATTCTGGAAATGAATATTTAACACTTAACTAATTCATATTTATCATGAATTCAGAGTAACCCCCTCCAGTGGGTGAGATGACCCGTTGCCATCAGACCCTCACCAGTCTTTTCCCAGCATCTGGCTGGGACAGAGGTGGGTGTTTTGGAGCTGGTCCCAGTGCAGTCCAACTCCTGGACTGTAGGTCAATGGGGCCTAGGCTAGAGACCATCAGTCCTGCCTTGTGTGGGTGAAAATGGCTCCAACCTTACAGAGCAACTCATTTTGCAAACATGTAGACATCACGGTGTCTAGAAAACCTTCCCTGATGCCTAGCTATTCAGGTCCCTCTTCTGCACGCTCCCCTCATACCTCCTCTGACTACTCCTCGTTACTGATCATTTAATGTTTACCTTCTTCCACATTTAATAGAGGAACCACCTAAGACATGGTTTATAAACGGAGACACAGCCCTTGCCCAAGGATGCCAGGTGTCTGTGTATGCACGGAGTCTCAGGAAGTGAGCCTGTAAGTTGAGGCTAGAAGGTAGAAAGAAATGAAAATGTTAAGAGCGTGGGCTCCATCCACTGAGCAGCAAAGGCTAAGGAATTTTTGAGGTGGGGAGCAGACATGATTACGGAGTGTTCATGTCAGAATTTGCCAGTAAAACAGGAGTTTGTAAGGTCAGAAGCGGGGAATGAGCTCAAGAGGACACTACTCTAAGGGAAACGCCAGCCAGGTTGTGACCACCCTCTCCTCCCTCCCCCACTAGGGGAGGCTTCGCAAGAAGGAGCCCACAGCTCCCGATGCAGCAGTTCCCAAGGCCTCTGCCCTGAACTCATGCTTTGCATGGCAGGATGCAGCGAGGCAGGGTGCAGCGAAGCCGTCTGCCCAGCAAGCTCATCTGGAACTCCCACATGGCGCAGGGGTTGGTTGGGCCCTTCCAGAACTAGACACAGAGCAGCCAGGCACCAGCCCCTCCCAGATGAAATATGATTCCAGATTTCCTGTCGCCCTTTGGGCTTCTGGGTCTGGATGCCACCCACAAAGCATCTTTGGATTACAGGACTAAGCTGATTGCAGCCTTGCTCCATTTTGCTTGGTTCATGAATACAAAGTGGGACTCACCCATGGCGTGAGCGTTGATTTCCTCATGGTCCCTTCTCATAGCACTGTTTGCACGTCTGAGTTTTATATACTGCCTAGTTGCAGTATATAAATGTGTGTGTGTGTGTGTATTTAAGGGACAATGGATTTTTATATAAAACATACACTGTTTAGCAAATTATTCTGTGATGTAAAAATCCTCTTCCCAGAATGAAAATGTGCAGTCCTAATCAGCTGTCAGAGTAGGGGACCAGGTGTCTCTCTGGCAGGACTTTGGACAGTATGGGAGAGAGTCCTTACTCTGGCTACATGATGCTACCATTGCCTGGTAGGAATAACCATTGTCCTTTACATTTTCATTGCGACTTTAAAGATATGTCATGGACAGTGTCTATGAGAGGGGCCTTTTTACAGGAAGTAGAAATCTGAGGTTGATGGAAATAAAGAGTTTTGGTAGGGAAGAATGACTTGCCAATAAACTTCATGACTGACAGAAAATTGCAAAGCGCGGCGGTTTAAAAGCTAGGAAGGAGTAGTCACATTCCCAGGTATCTTCCAGATCTTCCCAGGCTGTGAAGCACCTGGGATCTGAGTGGAACATGGTGGGGGAAAGGGAGGGAGAAGGAGGAACGGGGGTACATTGCACTGAGCCTGCCCTGCTTAGTCACACCCGAAGGTATCATCCCATGCTGCGGTCAGATCCTGATAAGCATCTCCGGAATTAGAAGAGCCAGTCAGGTTCTATGCCTGTGAAATATCAGCTGTACTTTTCTGTAAACAGCAGATAATTTATCTGTAGAAGTCAGATTTTTTCCTTGAAAGTGGGTTTTGTTTCAAAAGCTGTCTGTGTGGTTATCTTTAAATCCTGTTGGAACCGGAATAGCTTTTGCCTCCTCGATCACAGTGACCCTGGCAATAACTCAGGTTTGCTTATTTGTGCACCATAAGGACATTTGTTCATCATCGGGAGCAGCGGCTTCCAGAAGCCGGTGCCATGGCAAATACACTGCTGACACTTTGTATTTCGGTCATCCCTTTACCGTCAGTCCAGACTGTGCTTGAACTATCTTCAAACTAAGAAGAGGCAAGAAATACCATGAATTTAAATGGCTCCCTTTAGTGACTTACATGTGATGTTAACAGCTGTTATAAGACTCCCTCTTCTTTACAGAAAACATAAAACCCTTCGTCTGTTATGAAATCCACGTGCATGCACTTTCAGGGGACCAGGGAGGATGCAGCTCCATCCAGGGTGACTCCAAGCACAAAGGTGAGTTTTGGGACCTTTGCCCAACTTTGCTCTAGTTTAATGGTTTGGATTTGGAGGGTGACAGTAGCCTCCTGTGTTCTACTTCACAGCACCGCTGAGTGGCCCCCACATTAATGCCATCTCAGAGGAAAAGGGGAGCGTTTTAATTTCATGGGACGAAATTCCAGCCCAGGAGCAAATGGGCTGCATCCTCCATTACAGGATATATTGGAAAGAACGGGACTCCAATTCCCAGCCTCAGCTTTGTGGTATGTGTGAGACACAAAGGCAGCGGGGCCTCTCTTGTTTAGGTGTCGGGAAAACACAAGCATGTGCAGGTGCTGGCACCCTGCCTGGCACTTAGTAGATGCTCAGTAAATATTTGTGAAATTAACTGAATGAAGAAGAATAAAAGACATCTAAACACACACACACAATTCACATACACAAAGCTACTGAGTCTATGTTACGTGCCAAGCAAATTGAAGAAATGAAGATAATAGACGAGGCTTTCAAGGAGCTTACTCGTTTAGGGAGATAGAATTTCAAAAAGCAATAAAAGCGCTTCGGTACTATTACATTAGGCCCTTGAGGTTTGCAGGGAATGCATTTGGAGAACCTTTGAATCCCCGCATTTGCAAATATCATCATAGCATATTAGTTTCTCCTTAAATGGATAAAATACAATTTAAATAACTCCTTATGACCCATAATTATGCTATAAGACTAAAGCAATTAAATTCTGGCTGGAACATTATCTCAAATGATTTCATCACTCATTCACAGAGCAGCTCCAAGTTACTTGGCAGATTTAATGTTCTAATCTTTGATTTACTCAGAGTTTTGTTTTGTTTTTTCTGGCTTGAGCTTCTCTTTAGTATTTCACGGGCAGCTGGCTTTCTTTCAGAAGCATTTATCATAAAGAAGCAACAATTTTATTCCTTCATGAGAGCTCTTAGGTCCAAGAAGAATGCAACAAAGCCAGCCTGAGATGTGGATGCCAGAGGGCTGTCTGCAGAGTGATTTTTACCTGGGGAACTTGAATAATTCGTCCTCTCTCTTGACCTTAGAGCTGCAGTATTGCTTTTCTAAAAGTTATGACCTTTAAGGCTAATTAATTTCTTATTATATAAATAGTATTTGTGAATAATAAAAGCATTCAAATAGTTCAGAAAAATATAAGGTGGAAATTATCCCTTCCTACATACTTAGGTTATTAGCAGTTCTTGGTATGTTCTTCCAGAAAAAACTTAATGCATATACTAGCGTACATTTGGAATAATTATCTGTATTCTGATCTGTACCTTACTTTTGTCTTTCAATAAATAATATGTACTGAGACCTTTCCACATCAGTCCATGTGGACTTGTCTCATTCTTTTTTTAACAGCTCTGGAGTATTCCACTGTAAGACCTTACAGTAATTCACTGAATTACCCACCTTGCTAAACGCAATTTACCACTGAACAGAGCTGCTCCCCACTGTCAGGGTAAGTCAGTTCTGAAATGCATCCCAAAAGGTGATGAATCAGTTGATCTCATCATGGGCCGTTTGGAATGCTTCCAGTGAAATTTGCTCCCCCGAAAATTTTCATTTCGACAGAATTTAAACCAAGATGACTTTTTACAACACAGTTAGATGGTTCTTAAACCTGGTCTTGTAGATGTTGAAGAAATTACCTACCTTATTTGCAACAAATCTGATGAATATAAAGTCTATGTAAGTGTATTTTAAAATAAGTTTAAAGTGGAGACAGTGCAGATTCAAAACCCTATTTTATACTAGTATAGACTGTTTCCCTTTTAACACTGATAGATGAACAAGACCTGTTTGTTCCCTCTCTTCAGAGAGCTCACAGTCTACCCAGGGAGATGGAAAAGTACACAAAAGTGATGTAAGTGCTATGATCAAGGACTGAAAACTGCCTAGTGCATTTGGCAACCAGAAATTATTGGTGAGCCCACAAGAGCAGTTTCTAGAGAGTGGTAGAGGGCAGTAGGTTGAGGAAGAAGGAGAAAGACACCAGAAGGGCACCCCAACAGCGAAAGGAGGATGGTGTTTGGGGTAGGGGGGGCCCTGTCTGGGGTGTCTCTGGCTCTGCCCACCATGAGGCCATGCAGAGTGTGGCAGGAGCACTCGGCCCCGCCTGGGGCGGGGTGGGGTGCGTGGGTAACGCTGAGGCACAGCCACTCCTCTGGAAGCTTGCTGTGCTGCCACGTGCACCCGTAGCAAGTGCACTGCTCTGCGGGCGCACACGTTCTGTGTGTTATCACTTGGCTGTTTTGTCCGACAGGAGGGTGGAAGCCATGGCAATTTGTTCACTGTTGTCTCCCCCGTACTTACAACACAGCCAGGCACACAGTACGTGCTTAATAAGACAGTATTTTTTCAATAACAAATGGGTAAATACTGCCCTGCGTTTTGTTAAACCAATGCAGCTGGTTGGGTAAAAGCTGATTTCTAGTCGCCATGCAGCTGCTTCACCTGGTACCACTTGACCTTCTTACTGGCGACCTTTCAGATGATTGGCAGCCACCACGTATTCCTGAACTGGTGCCTTTGTCATTTAACCCCCCTGAGCCTTAAGTTTCAGATTGCGAGGGCTGAATGGCCTCCTTTATCTCTGCCAGAGATCACAGTCCAGACCCAGGCAGTCGAAAACCAGTATTTCCTGTGTGACTTCTTTCTCCCATTACTCAACTTAGCCTATCTGCCAACCACACTGCTGACACCATCGCCCCCTCACTGCTCCCCCCAACCTCGTAGTTTCTATTTTTATTCTTCAAATTTACACATGTGTATGTGTGTGTTTGTGTATAGACTTTTTTGGCCTAGCAAACCATTCAAACCCTTTCTCCTCTGTTCTAGCGTCTCATTCACTCCCAGAGTTAAGGATGCCTTCACACGGTTAGACAGCAGACTCCCTGATGCTCGCCTGTGCTTTGCTGCAGCAAGATGAGCAGAAGGCCTCCCCCAAATTAACTTTGTAATCCCCTGCCTTAGGAGTGAGAGACATTTTAGTTCAATCATATAGCTGAAATCTGTGCAAGAAGTTTCATCAGGGTAGAGTAGGCTTTTTTCACCATAGGATGTAAATTATAGAAATTGCTCTGATGGTCATAGCTCTTAAATGATCTGCCCAGGCCTTTGGGTGGAGTGGATGCAATAATGCAGGGCTCCATCCTGCTGGTCACCCAGAGTAAATAAGCAGGGGTGGTGGAGTGCAAGGGGTCTGTTTTCCCCATTAGATTGTAAACCCTTTGAGGCAGATTCTGTGCTTTGGTGCCTTATCCAGGGCAGACGCTCAGTAAATATTTGTGACTGTTAAAGTAAATTCAGCAAAGGGGCAAAATCTGACTTGCCCTGGGGTTTATCAGCCAGGAATGATGTTAAGGCCCACGGTGCTGAGTTCTGGTTTCCACGTTGATCACTGGCACAGGTGCAGGTCGGCTGAGCAACCCAGGAGACCTCACCTGTCAAAGTTCTGGCCTTGATTTTACAGTCCCCACCAGCTTTTGAGGGGTCACTCCAAAACTCCCACCCAGAAGATCCCTGCAGGAGGAGACTGCCGATTTACTGAAGGCCACTGATAGTCATGCTTCTTGGAGAAGAAAAACGATGTCAATGCATTGCTCAAAAAACAAAATCTTCCCTGCTGAGACTCTGCAGGGGTGTTGAGGGCATAAGGAACTGTCAGTCTAGGCTTAAACTGCCAAAATAAATCTAAGTACCATTGCTCTCATTTTTAGATTTTATGTCAAATTTAAGTAGATTGTCATATTAAACCCACTAAGACCAGTGCCCAGAAATCACAAGAAAGAAAGAGAGAAAGAGAAAGAAAGAAAGAAAGAAAGAAAAGAAAGAAAGAAAGAAAGAAAGAAAGAAAGAAAGAAAGAAAGAAAGAAAAAGAAAGAAAAAGAAGAGAGAAAGAGCAAAGAGAGAAAGAAAAGAAAGAAAAGAAGAGAGAAGCAGGAAATCAAAATTAATAAATGTTACTTAAATGACTATTTCATTAATTATTAAACTTAACTTTCTTAAGAATTACAGTGACAACAATTTGTACATTTAATTTCCTCCCCGAGAGTTCTCAGATACACCTGATAAATGTTGGAAACATTATAGTCATGGGAAACAAAAGGAGTTTCTGCAACTAAATAATTTCAAAAACAAAATGATAAAAAAATTCTTTCAAAAGATTTTACCACAGGAAAAAATGGTTCTTTTGATAAGCTGTGAAGTGGGGCCTCCATAAATGACAGTGTCCAAGGCCTTTAAAAATATTAAGTACTAATGAATTAAGATTATTTTAAGACAGCAATGTGCTTTTTCTCTTTCAAATTAAATGAAACATCAACAAATAAAAATGAGTAAAAGCCCACAGTCAAATATTTCCTTTAATATGTTGCTTTCCTTCTTTATCTTTCTTTCAGAAATTCCCTATAGGGACTCCCCAAATTCACATCCCATAGACAGCCTGCGCCCTAGAGTGACATACATTCTGTGGATGACAGCTCTGACAGCGGCTGGCGAAAGCCCCCAGGGAAATGAGAGGGAATTTTGTCTGCAAGGTAAGAACCGTCCTTGTGGGAGAGCACGCTGGCTTCCTCCGTAGGCATGGAGTCCCACTACCTTTGATACGGAGATGATCAGATTTTTCTTTAATTCACTAACTACTTTCTTGCTGTTCCACCTTTGCACTTGCTATGTCCCCTAACTAGAGTGCCCTGCCATTTCATTGTCTGCTTGGAGACCATGTCTACTCATTTTTCAAAACTCAGCAAAAAACAAAAAGCAAGTCAGCAAAAATATTCCTCCAGAAAGCCTTCCCAAATGCACGTCTGTGTTTCCTTCATGATGTGCTACACTTGACCCCTGTTGAAAACTCTGAATCCACTAGGCAGGGGCTGGTATCTGTTCTTCTCATCGTCAAGGTCTAGAACGGCACCCAGCACATTGTGCTTGTTCACTAAATATCTGTTCAGTGAATGATGAGGACAAACTCAACAGCGACAACACAGTTGTTGCGTATCAGATAGTTGTTACGCACCAGCACTGCCTCAAGTGCTTTGCATGCTGTATTAGTTTGCTGGGGCTTTTGTAACAAGGTACCCACAAAACCAATGGCTTAAACCACAGAAATGTATTGCCTCAGAGTTCTGGAGGCTGGGAGTCTGAGATCAGGGTGTCAGCAGAATTGGTTTCTTCCCAAGGCTGTGAGAGATTCTGTTCCCCGCCTCTCATCTGTTGGGGCAGTCTTTGGCATTCCTTGGCTTCTAGATCTCCACCTTCATGTCACTTGGAGTCTTCCTTGTGTGTGTCTCTGTTCCCCTTCTTGTCATGTTGGATTAGGGGCCACACTACTCGAGTCTGACCTTATCTTAACTAATTACCTCTACAATGACCCTTTTTCCAAATTAGGTCACTTTCTGAGGTTCTAGAGGTTAGGAGTTCAGTATATGAATTTTGGGAGTGGGAGGACACAATTCAGCCCACGTAACCCTTACTTTTACTCATTTAATCCTGATCACGACCACGTAAAGCACCTGCTGTACATAATTACACCAGCTACACCACCAGGCACTCAACATGGAATGAATAAAGAAATGGGGGACTGGGATGCCTTTTTATAAGTGTGAGGGCAGAAAGATTACCCAAGATCATAGAGGTGGCAAGTGGCAAAACTACAAATCAAACCCAGACTGAGTCTCTGAAGTTAAACTTGAGAATAGGAGGAAGTGACCGAGCTCACCTGCGTTTCTTGCCGCTGTCTAAGTTACATTGTTTTCTCTGGCAGCGCCTGTTTGCATCTGCTCCAAACATGAAACGAGCTGTTCTTGCTTTGTGACATGGAGTGTCAAGTAGATCATTCAGGACTTTGTTGTTCTGTGCCAGATGCTCCTCCACGGGGAAAACCGACAGGCCCTCTTCACATCCCCCAGCACGCCCATGAAAGTTAACTTGTGTGCAGTTAATTGGATTCAGGACTCAACATTTTTCTACTCCTGGTACTCCAGACTTGGCCCATCTGCCCAGGAAGGAAGGCAGATGCTAATGTCAGATTGTACCAATTGTGTGGGGCGGTAACAAGGCTGCCTCCATTAACTCCCCCGTTTCAGCCCTGGGAACACACCTCTCACGGAGGCTGGCAGGTCTCTGGCCACTAGTCGCCCTGCTTGCCCTCCCTCCCAGCCCAACCTTCACTCTGCCAGAGGAAGAATCTTTCTGCAGGATCCCTGTGCTGATGTTCCACCAGCTACTGCAACACACCAGTGGTTCCCCAAGTGCTTTCAAGCTAGAATTCAGACTGCTTCGTTACCAAGCCCTGCACGACCTGGTCCTGTCCACCCATCTAGCTTCGTCCTCTGCCGCACACTCGTCGTTTATACTGGAAAGCAGGACCAGACTGACTGTGGTTGCAGACATGCTCACTGTTCCCTCCTTCCATGTGTTCTTTCTCCCCTAGCTTGTCCGCTTAGCCAACTCCTACCCACCCAACTCTAAACTTTTGGCATCCTGCCTTTAGGAAACCTTCCTGGGCTGCTCATAAAGCCATTCCCCGTGCTGTTCTCTGTGACACTGACTTGTACACGCCATTTTTGTGTGTATCCCATGGCATCATGGTTTACTGTGCACATGTTTACACATCTGTCTCCCGGACTACATTCGTGACTTCTTAAGACAGCAGAGCCCACGTTCTATTCATCTTTGTATCCCAGCACCTAACCTGGCCTGTTACATGGTTTAGACTCAATAAATGTTGGACGAATTAATGAAGAATTCCAACACATAGTAAAATACACGTTCATAGGAAGGAATCAGCAATTTCAAAGACCCTAGTTAGATAAAGGGCTTATCCAATGGTTTGGTAAGATTAATAGCTACCATTTCTTGAGGCCCCGTGTTCAGATACACTGCTGTGTGCTTTAAATACACCATCCCATCTTCACAACCACCTTTAAGGTAGATGTCATCATCCACCTTTTATAGATTGAGAATCAGGTCCACAGATCACACGCCAGTCAGTGGACTAGAATTCAGGTCTCCCAGTTCACAGCCAGTACTCTGTATACACACTCCCTTCCTTTCTGCCCCTGTTAGAGGAAGGAGCCCTTGCAGGGCTGGAGTTCCTCCCTAAAAACCATGGAATTGGCCCCTTTGGGCCTCTCTCTGCTGAATGGGCAAAGGTGAGTTGGCCTTGTTTCTGAGCTCAGCTGCCCACTACCCACAAGCTGTGGGTAAGGCCCAGTGGGTTCACACAACAGTCAGTATTTTGAAATGTTCATTGAAGATAACTCAGTCACAGGGTTTGCTGACTTTTCCTTTCAGGGAAAGCCAGTTGGAGTGCCTTTGTGGCACCGAGCGTTTGCATTGCTGTCATCCTGGTGGGCATTTTCTCAGTGCGTTGCTTCCGGCAAAAGTAAGTTTGTTACAACTGCCAATTTTGGTAAATGTATTTTTCTTTAAATGATAATAGCTATTGCTGCTGTCCGTCAAAGAAAAGGACACTCTCATAACTTGTTGGTAGCAGACTTAATTTATTGAACTTTTTGGGGTGACAGTATGTGTTAAATTTTTTTAAATGTTTAAACTTTGACCTAGCAATTCCCAACTAGAAATTTATTCTAAGTATATCATAGGTGCATGCAGATATTTTATGGCAAATATGTTCACTGAAGTATTGTTTATAAAAGGAAAACAATTTGAAGCAACCTAAATGCCCAATGATACGGGATTGGATAAATAAATCACAATATATTTATTTCATGCTATACAGCATACCATGCATTTATTAAAGATGTAGAAGAAAATTACACGGTATGAGTATTTGCTATATTATATTTTAAAAAGCAGGTTGCAAAGCAACATGTACTTTCATTTTTATAAAATAGTGCATACACACATGCACGCAGACACACAGGATATATCAGTTAGCATTAAATGTGGTTGTATGTAACATAAAAAGCCAAAATAACAGGAAAAACTAGCTAAGTTTCTTACACAGGTAAAGGAAGTAAATGCAGGTAAAGGGCTGGTGTACCAGCTCCCTAGTCATCAGGGACCTAGGCTCCTTCTCTTTCTGCTCCACTGTTCTGACATGGGCTTCCATCCTCAAGTTCAGCTTACAGTCCAATGGCTGCAGGGACTACAGCCATCATGCCTGCATTCTACACCTGCAGCAGAAGGAAGGTGCCCCCCGCCTACCTTTTCAGGAGCCTTCATGTGACGAAGTCACATGTGACGCTTATGATTACCTCTCACTGGCCAGAACTTGGTGAGGCAAGGGAGGCTTAAAACTGTGGCCATTTAGCTGGGCTTATTGTCGTTCCAGTAAATCAGGGTCCCCTTCCTAAGAAAAAGGTGAAAATGGGTATGGGATGGCAGTTAATACTCTCCACCCCAAGGATATACACCAAAATCTTAATGGTGGTTATATCAGGGGATAGAATCATAGGTGATTTTGACTCTGTTTAACTGAATTTTCTAAAATTTCTTTAAACGTGTATTACTTTGTGAAGGACATTTTTAAATGAGTTATTCAGTAGTTTTCTTCAGATGTTGTGTGAAGTAGGAGGAGAGGTCAAAATAAAACTAGCTCAGAGTCATTCCACTGGCCAGTGAACTTGTCTAAAAGCCTTTACATTTATTGAAGCTTTCCCATACATGATCGATACCTGAAAACAGAGCCCTCTTTAGGTAGACTTTGAAAAAGTTGAATTCAGAGAGTCAACTAGGATCACGTGATCCTCTTCATGGAAATAGTATCAATCAGTTAAGTTGGGGGCTTCTGCTGTTAATGAAAAAAGAAAAGAAAAGAAAAAGATGGCCCCAAATGTAGTGGCTTTAATAAAATAGTTTATTTTTCTCCCATGTAATAGTCCTAAGGTAAATCATCCAGGTTGTTTGGCAGGTCTGCTCCACACAGTCATTTCGAGGTCCAGTTGTCTTCCATATTATTGGTCCACCACCCCTTGGGTACTGTCCTCATCTGCGTGATCTGTACTGCATCACAGATACCTCTGCTCACATGTCTTTGGAAAACCTTAGTTACATGGCCTCATCTCATTTTGAAGGGCTAAAGACATGCCAGAAACTTTTTTTTTAATTAAACACCAAAGCTTATTAAAATCAAGCTTTTAAAAATGTTTCATATTGGTGTTGAATTTTTTTAAAAAATAGTCGAAATATTTAAGTTACATGCATATAAGAAGCATGTTTAGGATTTTTTTTCTTCTGTATCATAAAGTAATATAAACTCCCTTAAAAAAATTTCAAAAACAGAGAGCTGTAGAAGGAAAAAAAAAAGGACACATATTTCCTCTGATCACCAAATGCAACTGCTGTTAACAGTCTGGATATTTCCATATGGTATTTTTTTCTTGGCATTTTTTTTAAACTTGGTTATGTCCAAGCTGTTTATACCACTTGTATCCTGTTTTGTTCTTTGTTTTTTTACTTTTAGCAAAACAGTTTACTTGTTATTACAAGTTCTTTGTAAACATTCTAATTAACTAAACATAAATAGTAATCTCCCCAAGGGTGTTGCCATGTCCTCTTGTCTGCTGTTTTATCCCCAGCAAGTGGCACCTTGCTGGTCATACATTAGAGGTTCAGTCAATGTTTGTTGAATGAGTACTTGGGTGGACAGTGACAGCTAAACATTACACTGAGCAAAAGTTCCAGAGTTTATTTAGCAAACCCTAAGTGGTTGCATCACGGGTCTTTATCACCTGTCTAAACTTCACGGAAGACTAATCCAGCCTCGGGTGGTGCGTCGTCTTTCTCCTGCAGTGTTGTATGTTGCTCATTTGCATAGCCCTGCACTGAAGTCACTGCACTAGGAACCCGTGCTTCCGTGTGTGCACGTCTAGCCAGATACTGTTTTCTTTGCCTGCAGGGTATTTGTTCTCCTTTTGGCCCTCCGACCTCAGTGGTGCAGCAGAGAAATTCCAGATCCAGCGAACAGCACTTGGGCCAAGAAATATCCTGTTGTGGAGGTAAGGCATGAAGCCTGATGACCAGTCGTGGGGCTCTAGGGATCAGCACACCTGGGTCTCCCATTGTAGTTCCTGGGGACCCCGCGTGCTTAGGTCTGCTGGACAAGCTGCAGGCATGAGTGCTGGGTTACCATCTGAGTCATCACTCCCGTGCACAAGAGTTTTCTGATGCTTAGAACCAAAAGACTGAAATACTGAGAGCTTTTTATTCCTCTCCATGCCTTCTGTTCCCCTCCTCACTTACTTCATGTTCGCCACCTCAGCTTACTTCAAAAGAAAGAAAAAAGCAAGTGTATTTGCCGAGCACTAGCCCAAGCATTGGCTCATCCAGATTCAAGAGAACTGAAGCTTTACAGTGACGTTCCCAGTCCTATCTGAGCACAGAACAGATGAATAGAGCCCAGACTATTTTGGTCTCGGCAGGAAGCCAGTAAGTCATCCCACTGTGCACGGAGAAAGTTTTAAGGAAGGAGAGGCAGCTCAAAGGCAGCTCAGAGGAAACTGGGAGCTGCTGCTGCACAGTCCTAGGAGGGGAGAGCAGCTCACGGTGGGCCAGAGGGTCGACCTCTGGAGGACGGTCTGGAAGCTGAAGGCATCTGAACAGGGAGCAAGACCGTGCACTGAAGGGGAGCCACAGGGAGGAGAGCAGGTGTCCCTGTCCTTGTCACTGCCCGGGGCCTGGGCAGCCCCACCGTCTCACACCTCACAGCCCTCCCTCCTCCTCCAAGCTGCTTCTCCTCAGTCACCCGTGCATTCTCTCAGGCACACCCTTCCTCAGGCCAGAGGCCAGCACTACCAGCCCTGCTCAGGGAAAGAGCTGGTCCCAGCTGTGTCTGCCTCAGCTGGAATTGAAGTCACCGCAGTTTAGTGCCTCTGAAATAAGGCCACCTCTACCACTTACTATGTCAATGACTTTGAGCAACTTGCCAGATGATATGAGCGCTAAGTTTCTCCCTCTGCAAAACAGGAATTGACGATATCTCTAATATACACTGTTGTAAGGAATAAGTAAGATGCCATTTCAAGCACATGGGTCACACAAGGCAGGGGTGGTTCATTTTCTTCCCAGGAAGATTTATACTTGAGGTCTCCTCTTTCTCTTGAGGGGTTTTGTCCCTGTTAAGTTACAATAGCAAGAATGACAGTTACGTGTGTGGGGGTGTGTGTATATATATATATATATGTCACATATGTGATATACATGGCATATAATTACATATGCTATATAATAGTATTACATAGTGTTTGTGTTTGTATATATAAATATAACATTACTTTCTATATGCCAGGCACTTTAAAAACAGTTTTCATGCACTAACAGCTAATCTGTGCAACAGCTTTCTGAGGTTGTAATATTATTATCCTCATTTTTCAGATGAGGAAAGTGAGGCAGAGAGGACTCAGTAACTTACCCGGTGTTAGTCAGCTAGTAACTGGTGGATCATGGACTCACATACAAGTAGGATGTGCCATCTGCCATCACGCTGTACGTTCTGAAAGGTCTTGCACACAGGGTGAGAGGAGTGTCTCCAGCAGTCAACACCTCTGAGCTGAATAGACTAACTCAAGAGATATTCACACTCAGGCCCTCATTTGGTGGCAATATTGCAATAAGCTAGGGGAATGCACTCAAGAGGCTGCCACTGTTAGAGGGGACTCAGTTACCAGGAGTTGAATCAGCTGAGCTCTGCGCTGTCTCTCTCCCAGTGCTGAGATTCCACGGCCCCATGTCCTAAAAGCCTGAAATAGCCCAGTGGGGAAGCAGCTCTGGGTCAGTCGCGGACATCTGGCTCCCAAGCTGGTAGCTTTGGCGGCGTGGTCTCTTTGCCTCTGCCTGGGCATGAGGGGATAGAGAGGCATGTGGAGCCACTGAGGAACCCATAAAAAGCCTAGGAGAAATGCTGAGAAAGACACATAAAGGGTTAGAAAAAGTAACACAGGGGAAGAAATAGCAAATTGTGCCCAAAGCTGTACTGTATAAGTATGTTCATTGCAGCATTATAAATAGAAGCCAAACGCTGGACATAATGTAGCCTGCCATCAGGGGACAGGTTAAACTTACGGGTGTATCCATACAACAGGATGTTATGCAACTACTAAAAAAATGAGATCTGTGTGTCTAAAAAATCTCTAATATAGTTAAAAGTGACAAAAGCAAAGTTCATAATAATTGTCTAAAGTGGGTTCTCATTTCTCTAAAAAGGAGGATGATTTTGTACACACATTTACACACACACATGTGCACAGGATATTTCTGGAAGCCTAAATATGAAACTGATAATGATGATTGCCTTTGGGGAGGTGGATGAAGGCATGAGGCCACTTAAATTTTCGTTACAAATTCCCTTTGAACTTAAAAAAAATTTTATAATACTATGTACATGTATTTCTTTTGCAGAAATAACCAGTGAATTAGAAAATTTAACTTAAACATGCCATCTATGCCGAAGGCCATGTGGCAGCCTCAGAGCCCCAGGTCACTTGACCCTTGAAGGGGTAGACTATTTTTAAAGACCCAAACTGCTCTCCTGGTGCCAGGCTGAGGCAGACATCAGAAACACAATAGTGTTTCACCTCCAACAAAATGTGCTTTGAGTTCTCAGGCTTTGTATCCCACAACCATTTTTTAAGATGTGGCTAAAAAAAAACCACAGGTTTTAGCTGTGGAGGAAAAGGCTCAATCATAAAGGGATCATGGGGATGTTACCCATTTTGAGCTTGTAGAAGCTTAAAATAGTTTCCATGATGTACCTGAGCTAATAGTAAGTGGTCCAAGAGGCCCTTGCCTCAGGACTTGTCAGCCAGGGGCCTGCTTTGTAGAAGCAGCCTCTGTTGAGGCTTTCACAAAGGCAGAGTGAATGCCTCGCCTTGTGAAAACAAGCCTCACCCTGTGTGACCTCCTCCACGTCGGTGGTGGCAGTGCTTTGGCAGCTGCTGGCCATGTTCCAAGCCAGACCACTGTGCCACAGCCAGTTTGCACAGCGATAGGAAAAGAGCAGGCTCCCAAGACAGGACACATACCCTCTGCGTGGTCAGGGCCCTTTGAGGCCATCTGCCCTGAGAAAGCACTGTCATACACTTTTTGGACACTTGCCGTGCTTCAGGCAAGAGGGAGGGCATCAGAGGCCTTCCAGACCAAACCATTCTTGCCCAGCTTGGCATCTTGACGGATGAGGGAACCCAAGACCAGGAAGACAGATTGAGTTTTCCCAAGTTGTAGAGACTCAGAGTTGGGACTAGTCCTCAGGGTTTGCCCTGTCCCAAGACTATTTTTTGTCATCCTGCTCTTCCCTTAAGACATAGTCTCTACTTGCATATAGCTGACAGACATGTTTAAAAAAAAAAAGTTGACAGTATAAAGGCTCTTACGCCAAGAACCTAACAGGTGGTTTCTTCGCTGCTGTTGGAGTCCAGTGGAGGAAACAGCCACTAGGGGCTTCCTGAAAGCGGGCTTTGGAGCTCTGCTTCGGAAAGACCAAGCAGTCAACGTAAAAGATAGTTTGGAAGATGTAAAGAGAGACCAATAAACCATAAAAAGAAATGTTAGGAGAGTGCTTGAACTTGGACTCAGGAATCAGCAGTAAGTTTGGGAGGGAAAGATGTGACATTGAAGAGCTGGTAACGAATTAGATGTTGAGAGAGATAAAGCAAGAAAAGTAACAGATAAAATTAGCTGTGGGGAACAAAGTATGAAAATTTCTTCCAGAAAAGTTATTTCAGAGAGGTCTTCCTTAAGAGAAGAACTGACAAGGATATTACACTACCAAAAACCTTTCAGTAATTATATCAAAGTTCAAAGTCCTTAACATCCCTTGAAAGTCCCTTCATCATGTGACCTCCGTCTATTTCTGAAGCCTCAGTGTGCCTGTCATAAAAAGAACTAGCAGGTTCCAGAATAGACCAGTTCTCCTTGCCCACCCCGTCTCTGCCTAGAAGATACTATACATTTCTCAGCATTCAGCTCTAGTGTGACCCTTTAATAGTCTTGCCTCCTCCCCAGACGGATGCAAGCTCAGCCTTTCCTTTGCACCCACTGTGCCCTCTATGCTAGAGAAGCAGCAGCTGGTGCAGTTTGACTCACCAGAAACAGTCTAGCTGAAGGTTGAGCGGGACGGTGAATCACTCACTAGTTGGAGGTTGGAAGGAGTCCATGGCTCCTGCCTGTCTGCCTCCCCAGTGGTGTTAACTGCTTCTCCTACCTACCAAGTCAAGGCCCACAGTGTTCTGCCTTGAGCTGACTAGCTTCATGGAGGCCTTATGTACCCTGGAGCGGTCGGCTGTCAAGGCTGCTTACTCAGTGTAGCCATATGAGCTTCTTCCTCCTCTTTCTCAGGAGAAGACGCAGCTGACCTTGGATAGGCTCCTGACAGACTGGCCCACTCCAGAAGAACCTGAGCCCCTGGTCATCAACGAAGTCCTTCATCAAGTGACCCCGGTCTTCAGACATCCCCGTCACCCCAACTGGCCAGAAAAGGGACAAAGAGTCCAAGATCACTATACCTCTGAGGAAGACACAGGATACAGTGCCTCGAGCCCACCACCTCCAAGAGCTCTCACAACAGAGGCAGGACAAGTGGTGGATCTGTACAAGGTGTTGGGGAGCAAGGGCCCCAACTCAAAGTTGGGACACCCAGCCAGCCCCTTGACAGTCCTCCAAGTGGACTACCTTCCTACCCACGAGGGCTACTTACCCTCCAATATAGATTATCTCCCCTCACATGAGGCTCCCGTAGCTGACCCTCTGGAAGAACTGCCTCAGCACATCTCTCTTTCTGTTTTCCCCTCAAGTTCCCTTCACCCACTCACCTTCTCCTGTGGTGACAGGTTGACTCTGGATCAGTTAAAGATGAGGTGTGGCTCCCTCATGCTCTGAGTGGCAAAGCCTAAAGTTTGGAAAGTCAACGTGCCCCCAGCCAGCACAGCAAGCCCCATCTGCCATCCTCCCAGCCCCCTGCTCCGGTGCTCATTGCCTTGGGTGCTGCCATTGGGTCTGGCTGCAGCCAGAGGGCAGGTAAGCCAGCTCAGGATGAATCTCAGGAACTAATAGTTGGCTGTACCCCAAATACCTCATCTTGCCTTCTCCACAGCCTTACGATTACATCCTTCACTGTGTGGACTTGAGACTACAATCTGGGTACTGCACTGGGGCAGGTGGTGCGGTGGTCAATGCCCGTAACCTCCATGTTGTCCAAGGGTCAACTGTATAAAGCAGCTACTACAAACCGGGTCTTATGTCTAGATCAGTACTGCCCAGTACGCCTGAGATACAAGTATTCTATGTATATCTGCACTGTTCGGTAGAGTAGGTACTAACCACATTGGCCACTGACCACTTTGGAATGTATCTCTAGTATGACTGAGGAACTGAATTTTTATTGTAATTAAAGTAGTCACATACAGCTATTGGCTACTGTGTTGGAGAGCACAACTCCAAATGATGGACGTGTTAGTGAGAATTATTGGTTACCTTCAAAACAGATCAACCTCATTTTACATATGAAGGCATAAAAGATCCTGGTGAACACCAATATAAAAGGGCTCCCAAGACGGTCATGGCTGTCCTTATTTGTAGAAGCCTAAGAATGTACCTCTCCCTTAGTTTTGATAGTTTATTTTGTCTTCACCCTTTTTCAGTGAGTCAACAGACGCTTGACAGAGGAAAGCTACTACTAAACCCACTATAGGACCTTGGGCAAGCAGCCTCCCCTCTCTGAAATCCGATGTTTTGTAAAGAAGTGGGCCCTTGCGTTTCCTCTTCTTTCTGCTGCAGCTGATGCTGCCTTTAAGATCACAGCTACCTCAGGGTCTAATACCCTACTGCCAAGATTGCACTCATAAATTGTCCCTTCTGAAGGCATTCTGCTTTCTTTCCTCAGGAAGACTCTAAACTGGTCCTCAGACAGCTCAAATTGAGCCTAGAAGATAATTCTCTTTTCCCCAGCACTAACTTGGAAAGCTTTAAAGCTGTGCTCTCTGGCTTGTCACCCTCCCTTCACCCATCATTTCTTCTGTCCTTTAACTACAGGCACTTCTGCTAAGCTGGTAGAGAAGAATCTTAGTCTAACTGCTAATTGTACCCTTCCCAAAAGAACAGGATGAAAGGTCCAGGAACCTTTTTTCTCAAATTCCTGTCAAGCCTGGGTCCTACACCCTACCAGCATCCCGCCCAAACACTGGATCTGAGGTGGCTCTGATTCACCAGATGTCCCTTAGAGCTCTAGACATTGAAATGAGCATTCGCTCTGCTTGTTCATGTTTAACTCTTCATCCATGCTTCCTACCATTTATTCCAGACTTAACTTTTCACCCAGGCTTTATTTGAAAACCTTAAGTTTCTTCCTTACATCTCCATTCTACCCTATTTAGCTGCTGTGTAGAAACCCCCACCATGGTCCCTTGCATCTCAGTAGCTTCAGCATCGGATTTTCCACACCCAGGATGGGGAGCCCCTTGTTTGACTGTTTGCAATGGGCCACGACAAAGCCGCCACCTCAGAAGCAGGGCAGTCTGTCGCTTCTTGACAATGAAAGCCAGCTTCTTTCTTCTTAATACCTGCTTTTTCATTTATTTGCTTTCCTTTTGATAACCTGATAACCACCTTAAATCACTCTTCCCCACCACTTCTGGCCTCAACACACAGGTCCCAGTCTCCCTTTTATCCCCCACACCCCTTCCCTTCCCTTAAAGCCCCAGCTGGTACTGCAGTCCTCATTTGTTTTCCTTAAAAGGTTTTTAAAAAAATTTAAAAAGGGAGACTTCTTGACTCCTGAAGTCTCCTTCTAAGGATGCAGAGGCCTCTTCAGTGCTCCCCTAGCACGGTGCACTTACTTCCTCAACTGGACTGTGAATAGCTTGAAGGCAGGAACCATGGCAATCTGTTTCTCCAGCACTGTGCCTGGTTCATAGTAGGCTATCGATAAAAAGCAAAAGATGTCTCCTGCCATCAACAAGTTTCATCTTGTTCCTTCTGTTACAGAAGCGAGTCTGGTTGTGTCTCTTCCTCTTTAATGAGACAATTGAGTTTGCTTGTAATCCTCTTCATTCCCAACCGCATTCTACCCTACCATTTACTGACAGCACCACTGTAATACATGTGGCAGTTCATTACTTTAAAAAATATTTGAGCATGCTCTTGGCTACTCACTCTGCCAGATAAAAAGTCCTCTTGCCACGAATGACAGGATGGGTAACCTCATCCTGCCCTTGCCCCAGCTTTTACAATCCACCTTCCTGCCCACACACAGTCAAAATCCCATCAGATAGCCTAGTTTACTAGGACTGGGTAGGGCTCAACAATATTCATATAGTCAGGCTTTCATTCCTCAGGAAAATTAGCAACGCTTTAAATCCTTACTCCTGATGTACATCTGAAAGCCAACCCAGAAATCTCTGCTCTATTGAAACACATCAAATTCCTTAATTCTCTGGGACCTAAATACTATAGAGAGAGTCCAAGTTCATTCTCATGAATTCATGAGAATCGCCACCAATTCTTGTGTACCGATCATTATCTTGAATTATTCCTTAAAAGGGCCAGCAATTCTATTTTCCGGGCCTCTGACTTCCTTATAGGGAGTCTAGTTCTTTCCCTCTGGTGCCTTTTCCCCTCCACCCCATCCCAGTCTCTCAGCTTCCATTAATAGCTTACAGCTGCAACTCACCAAAGCCCAGAGGCCAGTGAAAGACATGCCAAACTAGGCACCTTTTAGTCCATCCCCCATGTTGGATTCTTGGTTTTTCTACGTCAAGCTCTTTTTCTTTCACCTGACGTAGTTGTCGTCTATCCCAGTATCGCTGCTGAAACCCTCCAAAGGAGCCGTTTTTCTCTTCCTAGTCTGCAGAACTCAAGGACATTCACAATATCCACCCTTATGAAAGGCTGATAGGTGAACCCTCAAATTAATCACTCTCTAGAATGAGATCAGAAAGGCCTCTTCTTCCCCCTAAAAAAAAAAAAAAGATAAGCAATTCAATCAATTGGCCAACTGGAAATAAACAAGTCAGATTTTTACATCACAGACTATCCTAAAATAAATTTCTAATTAAAACTTTGCAAAACACAAGTCAGATAAAAACATTTGCAAGATATACCAAGATAACTTAATAAGGTGCTCTTATAGATCAATATGAAAAAAGCCAGTGCTTCAAAGAAAAATGGACTGAATGAGAAACTCACAAAATACGTGTAAATTACTCAATAGGCATGAAAAAAAACTCACCTGTAATCAAAAATAAAAATTAAATACCATTTTTCCCTTACCAAATTAGCAACATTAATGAAAAAATAAGCCAGTATTAATCAGAGAACTGCATTTGGCAACCAGGAATGTTAGCTGGTTCCTTTCTGGAGACAGCTGGGCAGTATTTAATAAAATGTGAATAAGCAACTCCACTCCTAGCAATGTAGACTTAAAGAACAGTATAAATATAAACTGAATAAAGGATTTATCACAGCGTTGATTAGAGGAGCCTAAATGTCCTTCAGTAGGGATCTGGTTGAATCATCTATACAATAAAACACTGAATTTCATTGAGTCTAAGACTCCACCAATTTTAGGACGCCCCATTATTTTGTTATGAGTAGGAAAAAATGTTCATTAAACAGTAATAGGCCACTGATTTCTATGGTGCACATTTCCCCCATCCTCCCACACACATTTTAACATACCTGAAATGAGGATAAATCTGAGAATTGATGAAAAGCATGCTAGTCAGTCTTTTAAAAAATATAACACTATTTGACAAGGAAATGGTTAATTACAAATGGCTGAATAGAATAATGTCACTTTTATATAAATCAATACAAAAAAAATCTAAGTAATATACACTAAAATGCTAACAGTGGCTACATCCAGCCATAGGTTTTCTTAATTACATTTTTGCATTCTTTTCATCACAAATACTCATTTCTCTTGTAACTGAATAAAGTTAATGAAATAGAAAATATTACCAATTCCTTTCCAAAGACCTGAGGCAGTGGGTCCTAAAGACAGACTACCAACTACTTTCCTTATGGCCCACATCTCTTTCAGCCTCCACCTTCTCTGGCACTTCCACCCTTGATACTCTTGTCAGAAGTCAGAAAAGACAAAGTAGCTGACACACTAGATGAGGGTGGGGGTTGGGGATGTTAGGGTAATAACTGAAGAATGGATCTTTGAAATACAAAGTTTATATAACAAGCCAATATTTGCCTTATTTCCATTCTAATAGGAATTAATAATGATCAATAACCTCTAACACAGTACTTAATACATGCAGTTTTTAACGGCTGTAACTCAGTTCTCACCACGGCTGGTTAAGGTAGGTGTTATCTCCACTTGAGAGATGAGGAAACAGATACACATTAAGTAACTTAACCAAAGGCACACAATTAGTACTTGATTCCAGATAGTCGAGTTTTGGAGCATAACTTTCAACTACTCTGTGATTCTTTTCTATGCAAATGACTGTACTACAAATTTACATCAATTGGGGTTCTGACTATAGTTGACTATAACTGTGATTCTATAAAAATCTTTGAAGCTACTGGTACTAAGTAGCCAAAAACTGGCACTTCCATACTTCTAAAGCTCTAGCTCCTTCTTGGTACTTGAGAAATCTACCTAAAAAGCAGTAAATCTTAAATGACACCAGGACAAATCTGGCACTCCTGAATTTGCTAACTTACCCACCCAGCTAATCTAAATCCTACCATACAAGGCACACTATGTAGGCCATAGATGGGAAATAACACCCCTGAAAAAGTCCGATTTAACGAAATTGTTAAGTGGAGTATATAAAACTATGAATAAAAAACACTATGCTTTTCAAATAACCTGAGAAGTTTGTCCTCTCAAATTAAAATATCTATAACCCCACCCAACTTACCTGATTTTTTCCTAAACATGGCTATTTCTTAAGCAAAAAATTATTAGGGCTGCATTTGACTCAATTTTGTTGTTTGTATGAATTGTTGAAGCATAAATAAATGCCTTTCCTTCATTCTCTGGTAATTGGTTCCACATTAATAGTCCTTTCTTAAATTTACAAGTGGCAAAACCATTCTTACATTCGTTCTGTGATTTCAGTCACATCTCCAGCATACAAACCTATTATGTGCTACCATGGCGTCCCTTTCAGTCAATTCAGGCCATTTTCAATTTCCACAACTGTAAGGAATTCTGCTACTAGAGATCCTGGTCTTGTCGAGGCAAGAGAATGTCAAGTGAGGCTAAAAATACTTTCCTTTTTCCAATTTCAGATATTTTACTGCCCATAGGTAATTGGACCCAATGAAATACTATAAAAGCTATTATGAGATTCTTACAGAGACTTGTTTTCAAAGGCCCCAAATTTTCACCATTGAGGAACAAGCCAGACATTTTTTACTAGTTCAAAAAAACTGCAAAACTAGT